TTACCCGGGGCTGGTCGGTTCCGGTTAAGAAATCTTTGCTCGACCAGCACTCGATCCCCTGTTCCACGGTGCCCCAGGGCCCTCGAGAGCGCTCGGAGCCTCGGTTATGACGCCTCCAAAGTCCACTGCCCCGTCGCGAACGCTTTTGGAGCCTCACCGGGCGCGGGCCCGCGACCGACTGTTAGGATTCATGCACGATCAAGGACGCATGACATCCAACCATACTTACTAGGAAGGCTTGCCGAGGGTCATGGGATATGAGATCATGTGATATCACGTGACTTCCAGAAGAGGCAACCTCAGAATGCACTGCTGCACTGTTGCGCTGAAACAAGGCAGCATGTCACGAATCGTTCCTCGGGGTCACGATATCGATCAGGGTTTCCTGATGTGTGGGAAGGCAGGAGGATAGTATTCTCGTGCTTGTGCTCGTGGCGCGTCTCCTGCGATGACGTCGTTCTGGATGTTTCAGCTCGCAGGTCAAATTTCTCGGTGGGCATGGGCTTAGCACGCCTGTGCTTTTGCCATCACTTGAGCAGTCAATTGATTTGAATTCTCAAATCCATTAAGTCGAGCGCAAATACACCATCAAACGAGGTTCACCATGCCGCCAAACCTGAACAAAGCCATAGATCTCATCGATGCCGCCCACAGAGAAGACCCAAACAGACTTCATGCCAATGGAGAGTCAATTCCCTACGAGCTACACTATGCGCAGAAAATGTCCAAGTACCTCAACCTCCACACTCCCAACGCCGATCCTCTTCTCGTGACTGCCGCTCGAGCCCAGCATTTCCGCCGTTGGGAGGTTCCGCGCGATTCATATCCCAAGACTAAAGCTGGCTACTTTGTATGGCGGACTTTGCTGAAGAAAAGACAGGCGGAACAAGTCAGACAGCTGTGTCTGGATTGTGGCTACAGCGTAGAAGAGGCGGATAAAGTGGCGGCGTTAATCGCCAAAGAAGACCTGAAGAAGGGTGAAGGGAAAGGCGATCCCGACGCGCAGGTCATCGAGGATGTCGCTTGTCTTGTCTTCTTGGATGACCAATTTGACGAGTTCGAGAAGGCTCACGATGAAGACAAGATTGTCAGTATCCTGCAGAAGACGTGGGTCAAGATGGGCAAACGCGGCCAGGAGCTCGCTTTACAGATGGATCTGAGTGATCGAGCCAAGGAGTTGGTTGGAAAGGCTTTGGCTGGTTGATTCGCATTCCGGTCATCTGGTGCAGTCAACTTGGCCATTAGCCCTCAGCAGCGAGGTTACCAAGGTCTGTATCCGGCCATGTGCTGCCATTGTCTGGTCTGCGTCGAAGGGATGTCTGCATGTTGAGCGTGTGCAACCAACTCGCAGCGATTCTTGTTCAAGATGACCGATCCTCGAGACGAAGAGGCCCGCGCAGACCCGACGAAATTATGTGTTTCAAACTTCAGACGGCACGCCCGCTGCATTCCTTGATTTGTTGTGTCCTCTGGAAGGCATGGGTGCCCGCGGCCATTATATGCACAATCCGACAGGGTCAAGCACCGATGGAATAGATGCATGCGAGACAATTGCAGAGGACCTGAACGAGTCGGAAACATGAGCAGCCCGTGCGTCCGTTACTGGCAACGATCCACCAGCGGTTGAAGTTGTGCTGGCGACGCAGGTTGGATGTCCGCTGCTGCAATCCGTGCGCCAACCAGCTCCGTGTCCGGCTGGCTGCTTTCAACTCCGCATGCGCCCCGCGTGTTTGTGGTTGCGGATATAATCAATCAAACACACCATCTCGTCGCCAGCAACTTGAAGACAGGGAACTCCATCTCGATATTGCCCTTTGTACGCTGGGAAGAAGTACAGACTCACGTCTCGCCGTCTCAAGATGTCGCCGTATCCTAAGATCGACTGTCATTCCCACTATCTTCCTCCGTCAGTGCTTCCGTCGGCCCACACCCCCCTCCCAGCTGACTGTCGGGCAAACAGAGGATATCGTGATGCTCTCGCGGAGCATGGCCACAAGCAGCCCGATGGCATACCTGGAATACCAGTGAGCAGGACACCACTACACAACCTATGCAGTGGTCTCACAACTGATCCACGCTCAGTCCTGGAGCGAAGAGAGTCATCTCGAAATGATGAAGTCGATCAACGTGACCAAAAGTGTACTGAGCATCAGCTCACCTGGCACGCATCTCAAGGCGGGTGATGATGCACTGGCCCGAAAGTTGACGCGATATGTCAACGAGTTTGCTGCCGCCCTCAAGAAACGAAAACCCGAGCAGTTTGGATTCTTTGCTTCCTTGCCGTTGGCCGACGCCCAGGGATGTCTGGAGGAAATCCCGTACGCACTGGATCAACTCCACGCCGATGGCTTCGTCGTCTTGACCAACTTCCACGGTTCTTACCTTGGACACAAAGATTTCGACCCGATCTTTGACGAGCTCAACCGCAGGAAAGCCATTGTTTTTATGCACCCAACCACTCCATGTTTGTCTCATGGCGGACCTGCGGCGACCCCTCTTCCCGAGTTCCCCCGGCCCATGTTCGAGTTCTTGTTTGACACTGCCCGCGCCGTCATCAACTTGTTTCTGTCCGGCACGGTCAGTCGCTGTCCCAACATTACGTTTCTGGTGCCTCATGTGGGTGGCACGTTCCCGCCTTTGATCAACAGGTTTGCCAATGTTGGTCCGGCGTTGAATCTTCCTGGCATTGATCGCGAGGTGACACCCACTTGGATCAAGCAGAGGTTGAATCAGCAGTTCTACTTCGATACGGCGGGATGGGCATTTCCCGAACAGATCAAAGGCTTGTTGCAGTATGTCACGGTGGATAGGGTGCTCTACGGGAGTGACTTTCCCTTCACTCCGCTGAAGATTGTTACGCCGTTGTCGCAGGAGCATGACCAGTATTTGCCCGAGGTGTTTCCTGACCAGGAGGACCGCGAGAAGCTCTGCAGCAGGAATGCCCTTCAGCTGTTCAGCCGGCGATCATGAGAGGGGCGATCCCTTAAGGTGATCATCGGCCAGGTGTAAGATGGTCGGACGGAACTGATGGACATCTCTACCAGAGTACAATGATAGATTGCACCACGATGGACACAATCTAGATCTGCAAACTTTGACTAATATGTCAGGAAGCAGTGTGATTGCAAACAACACCAACTGCCACTGAGGTAGCACATGGTCGACCATTCTCTCGCTCCGCCTCTATCGACCTCTCGATCCAATTCCTGCGCGATGGACAGGGATCAAGACTACACGGCAACCCTTGTCTCAGCTGGCGTATGACAAGGGGCTCCTGGCGACGGGTGGATTCTCCGGGGGCGAGATAAGGGTAAGGAGGGGTTTCTTAGGTCAATCAGACAGCCCGGGGATAAGCCCCAGAAAGTCTGAGGAGCCCCCTAGCCTCAGATTATCGCCTAATCGAAAGCCTAAGAAGCCTAGAGTTCTCTAGGCGACCCTCCCCTTGCTCTCTTATCGTCATGCTCTGCATCGCATTGTCGTTGTCGTCACAAGCCTGCAAGTTGAAGTCATGCTCGGCTTCAACTTTGCCATCATCCAACACTTTACTCTTCTACCGCACTCTACCACAGTAGTAAGAGGGGAAGGTACAACTGTGGTAGTATATCTGCTTCCTGATTCTGATCGGAATCCTCTCAGCGTCCTGTTGGTAAGTCTGCTATCACCTGAGAATCGACAAAACCCGCTGCATCAATTACCGATCTCATCATTCCCGGTTCGTCGTATCAGAAGAATCAAACCCGCATCCTTGCCCATACCTTCAGAGAGTCCGCGTAGGTACTCTGCGAGTTTGGTACTGTCTCCTCTAAGACAGACCACAAGCTCGTTCTGCTCCTGCCATCACCCTCTACACACCACTACTCTTGCTCAGAACAAGCAATCCCGTCCTCCCGTTCTACTACTACCACCGTGACCATCATGTCCGACGCACCCAGCAACAGCAAAGGCGTCGCCCCAGACTCCCACTCCGCCCTCTTCGGCCTCGAAGGCAACAGGCCCTCCACTGCCGCAGCAGGTTCGGGAGCAGGATCCGGAGTCATCGGAACAAGTGGACACGCTGGCGCCGCAAACACGGGCAGTGGCGCCGGAGGTGTTTCTGCCACTGGCAACGCACAGTCCACGACCGCGGGGATACAGCACGGCGGAAAGAGTTCGGCGCCTCCGGGGTCGGGTGCTGAGACGTTGACTCCTAGCCAGGGGTCGGGGGAAATACCTCCCAAGGTATAGATCTCTTTAATCAGACGTGGCTTTTGATGTGGTCGGAGCCCGGATCCTGGGGGATGGTGTGCATGGTACTAGAATGGAGCAAGATATCGGTAGGGGTGGGTTCATGGGGTATTGGTATTGCTGTCTTCGCGGCTGATGGGTAGGATTGAATCGAGGAGGTGTCAGTACGATTGCATCCAGCCATACGAGGACGGGCAGGGCGGAGGATGAAGTTGACGGTGGCTACTTGCACTGTTGAAGCACCCGCGAACGAAAAAAGCAAACAGCAGATGTTCGACAGGATCAGGCCGGTTGCTGATCATCGATAGAGGAGGCTTGTCTTGTGCATGACTAAGAAACAACATTTAGCATTAGGAGAAGACACAACCAACCCAGAGGGTCATGCTTTTTGTTCCATTTGGCTTCGACTGTGCCGCGAACGACCGCTTTACTACATCAGTGTGTCATGGGACCCTACGTCTTATCCACACGACTATCGACCGAGCCGGCCTGAGCAGGACTACCGGAAGCTACCCTGGGTGTAGGTAGTTGCAGGATGACTATGGTGATACTGGTATGGGAGTTTGGATGGACACGAACATGAGCATAACATTGATATACAACTTCCACTCCCAGCCCTTCTCGGAAGAGCGCTGCTTTCTGGTTTGGTCTGCTCTGTGTTCTCTACAACTAAACCCCCATGTCCCAATCTGCATCTGTGACATTTGGAGTATCCATGTTCGGGTACAAGATCGGGCCGTTTCAATATCAATGTATGGAGTTGTTCAGCCTTGCGTCTCATGGGTATATCAAATCCAGGGTCGTCGGTGAGTGTTTATGAAGTACCTTTTCAATCCATCCACACTTGTAGGACGAGGTGTACCGAATTGACTTCTTTGCTTGTTGATGTGAAGATAGGTATTCTTGGCCGTGGCTCCAATTGCTATCCTCTTTTCTTGATTCCTCTATATCTCTACTCTCACCACTCTCTAGTCGTCTTTCTCCCCCTGCAACTCTTTCTCCACCATATCCGCAAAATCTCCCAACGACCCAAATCTCCATCCATACCCGACCTCGCCGTTCTCATGAACCTCGCTCAACCCGCTGCCACTCCCCATCCCCGCCCCCTGCCTATTGATCCACACACTGCTCAACCCGACCTTCTTCGCCGGGATGTGGTCATGAAACAAACTCTGCGCGACATGCAAAATGTCATCCTTGCCCCGGACCTCACCTTCTGTATCATTTTGCGCGTGCTCGAACAGGTACTCGAAATTGCGCACGTCGGGCTTATAGCTCCCGATATCTTCGGCGGTGTAGACGGCGAAGAAATTCACGCCCTTCAGCGGTCCCGCCAGAGTTCCGGAGAAACTTGCGCGGTCAACGTTACTGAGCGGCACAAGAAACTTGTAGTGTTTGGCCAGGCGGCGCATGGCGGACACGGTGTCCGGGAAGGCGGGCCACGAGCCGATGCTGGAGCCGAAGGATTTGGCTTCTTGGAGGATGATTTGGGCGGACCTGGCGGAGTCTGTGGAATCGTCGATGCCACCGCCTTGACCTTCGGTCATGATGCCCAATTCCTTCGCCAGTCGGAGATACGCTGCTTCCAAGATCTTCGAGTATTTCGCGCCAGGGCGCTCCGTTTGCAGCGACGCTTCGATCTCGTTGAATTTGGCCGCGAGTGTGAGTTTGGCGTCCTTGTCGCTGTCGTTGCCGGTATACCGATATTGTGCGATATGTGGGGGCGCATCCGCCGGGATTCTTGCGGTTAGGCGTTGGAGGTGCTCGAGGATGCCGCCTTCCCAGTCTATCAGGGTGCCGTAGATGTCGAAGGACAGGAGTTTGAACGAGGAGAAGGGCCGGCGTGGCACCGTCGGCTCCGGCATGGGGAGGTCGGAGCTTGAGGAGGCTGGAACTGGACCGGAGGTAGAGGTAGACGTAGCCATTGTCACTTGATGCGGAGAGTGTTGTTTTTGTTTTTGTTTTTGTTTTTGTTTCTGTTCTTTGGACCCAGCTTGACGTTGGCGGCAATGCTGTCTGTCCTCTGACGCCTTGTTGCCGCTCTCCTCGTCTCTTCGTTCGGTTGTTATCTTGTAGCTGTTGTGATGTTTGATCCTCTTCGTTCTTGACTGTGAAAGGAGAGAGAACAGGGCACTGACTCTGGCTCTCGAGATGACGCTGAAGCTCTTGTTGGTGGACCGATGTTGTATAGCGATTTCGGAGAACGGCGTACTATCATATGTAGGATTGGTAGAAGGTGAAATGTTCAATCTGACGGGTATGGACACCATACATATATACCTTAGGTATCTATATGTCGATTCATCCGTTTCACTCACGTCCCATGATTGCTGTACGCCTCTACTTCCTTTTACTGCCCATCATGACCAACAGTAATATACTACGGAATACGTAGGTAGGTAGGTAGGTAGGTAGGTAGGTAGGTAGGTAGGTACTAACTTGCAGGTACCTGTAGCACATGTAGTACAGAGTACAATGTACCTAGTAGTACCTAGTAGTACCTACTATACGCCGATACGCTGATACGCACTGGCTTATCAAGTCCATCCAGGAAGACATCAAACCAACTGACCACGCACGCCCTTCCGCCACTGCATGATGGATTCGGACTCCTTTCCCTACAATACTAGTATGCCATGCCATGACGCATGACATTGTCGAAGGATAAAGGGCGTGGATCATCACAATCTGACCCACTGCCCTCGAAAAGTATCGGCATCCTACCCCAGGGCTAAACATGGGAGCTTCCCGCAGGGGCTGCGCCGTACGTCGAGGCTGGCGGTACTTGAGCTACCTACCTACCTTATGCAGCGACAGGTGCGATGCGAACTTGCATGAATCGGACGATTCAGCCACCCGTTTCCCAAGCTAGCTATGGTTTGCGCAGGGATGGTATCTCAGAGCATGTTCAGACGGGAAAGTGGAAAACAGAGCGTGGAATGTGCACATTCCATCCGCTGCAGACTCGGCGGTGATTGATCGACGACGACGACGGCGACGGATTCGACATATGGCAGCAGGCTTTACATGGGCTCTGGGGGCCACGAGTCAAGCATGTATGGTGGCAGCTCACCAATGAAAGAGCATGATGGTCCATTGTAGGGGATGGAAGAGACCAACAGACGTGAAGAATGTGAAGTGTTTTCGATCAGAATATGATGATTTTCTTGGTTGAAGTTAGAGTCTCGCGAGGTATGAGTTCAGCCACAGGTTCGAGTTCGAGGTCGAGGTCGAGATCAATGTCTATGTGAAGCACAAGCACAAGCACAAGTGCAAGTGCAAGTGCAAGTGCAAGTGCAAGTGCAACATAAGTACACAGTAGTTAGGTACATCCTCCAGTAGTAGTCCTGCCCTTTGTTGGCAGCCTTGCTCGTTGTTTTGTTCAAGTACGATCTATCCTGTCCTCTCCGCGTTACAAAAATAGGGTATCTCTTGATCTTGGTGGCACAATGCATGAACCTGTCACAAGTCAACCTGGTAGGTAGACAAGGTCACCGCCCTCAGCCCGCAACCCTCAGCCCGCAAATACATCACCACCATCCCGCTGTCTTTAATCTTTATGACCTTCAGGCAGAAGAAAAGAGACAGTCTTCTTGGGACGTTTCTAACGTCCTCCTCCGTGATGCCCGTGCTGCCCGTGCTGACCGTAAGTCAGCGGTGTGCCATTGAGGTCATGACTGTGCGTCTGAACCTGAAGAAACGTCAGTCAGGAAAGCAAAGACCTCTCACGAACCACCAAGCATCACCTTTTTGCGCTTGCGCTGACTGCCATAGTCATCACCATCGTCGCCGTCTTCAGGGTCGGAGAATCCTTCTCCGTAGCCCACAAAACTGTCGTCACCATAACTTCGTTTCTTTCCACGAGTCTGTCGTTTGGGCTCCGCGGAGGCAACTCCGAACACAGGTTGTGATTGTGTACGAACCGCTGCTCCATTCGCGAGACGGGACAGAGCCGGTGGAGCGGCGGCAGGCTGCTGTGGTGTCATGGCATAAGGCTGTGGTTTCGGCTTGTCAAATCCTAGCACATCCTCCCAGTGGTCGTTGTTCCGCACAGTACCGGGCTGCATCTGCGTGGCTTGCTTCAATTTCGCCCTGAAGTCCGGCGTCACCTCAATTTTCGTCCGGGCATGCTCCGCGTTCCATTGCTCATCCGGTTCAAGACCCCATGGCGATGACCCTGCCATGCGCCGTAACGGTCCAGGTTGATCTTCCTCGACATTGCGCTCGCCTTTGACCGGTTTATTCCGTCCGGCCAACCCAAAACTTTTGATCTGACCCTCGTACGACTTTCGCAGCTTGTTGATTTTCTCTCCAGTCTTGGGATCTGTACGAGCGACGCTGCGTAACAACGGACCTAACCCGTACAATGCAAGTAAATGCTGTTGAGGGTTTGGCTTCTGCCGCTCGACTTCTGCAAAACCCGGAGTGTTAATAGACCTGTGGCACACACAACGTCGTCAGAGGAGCAGGGTTGAGGGAGAGTCTTACTGGATCGGCAGAGAAGAAAGGCTTCACCCATATCTTTCTGTAGCTGCTCCAGAGTCATCTCCGGCGGCACAAGACCAGATCCTTCGCCGGCGAGATTCTTCATATCCTTCGGCGCCGATCCTGCACTCTCCACATTGTCGACATCCATCCCGCCATACGACTCATCTGTATCATGCCGGTCATGGTTCGTCGCTTGTGCCAGTGATTCCACCTCCATCTTGTCCGTCTCGTCATTACTGGTCGTGTCTAGTCTGGCTCGCTTGTCGCGATGTTGATCTGTTGAATCTTCCGCCATGTCAAAACTCGACATTCCCGTCACGCTGTGCGCTGGAGTCGGGAGGGAGTGAGTCTGGTTCGGTCGAGAGGTCGATGTGGCGGCTTTTCTCGGTGAGCGCGGAGACGAACGGCTCGAAACCTCGTCGCTCTGTTGATGCTGGACGGTTCCATAAGAAGACACATAACTCTTTGTAGCAACTGACATAAACGAAGGAGAATTGGGCGATTGCGGGAGGGTATCGGTGTGAGACGGGCGCCGTCGCTTGAGAATCGATTCAGGCGGAGAAGTTGGTGAAGGTGGAACGGCGGCCGGTTGAGAGGACGAGGACAAGGACATCAATATGCGCAGAAGAACCGGTGTGCAGGGGTTCTGCCGAGTAAAGAGTGCAATTAGGGGATTTGCTTCTAAATGAGCTCTCGCTTCTGGTTCCTTGAACTGCGGAAATATTCGTTCTATACCGCTGCAGTGGTGCTTTAGGTGGACGCCGATAACGAGAGGTGAGGCGCGAATGAGAGTTATCGCTAGGGTTGCGGAGGACACTGGTGTAGTATCCTCAGCTGAGGTCGCGAACGGATCAAATGGATGATTGAGAGGTCTGCTGCAGGTTTTCGTGGTGGACAATGACAAGACAGAGAGCAAGAGACAGGACGAGAGACAAGACAAAACGGGGTTGACGACGAGCCTGAACCTTGAGGCCCGAATGAGGCGGCTTGCAGTGCCATTCAGGTTCGCTCAATCAAGACATCACGTGAGAAGTGAAGGCGTCAGCCACGTCAATCGAGCTTGAAGCGAGGCCGAGATCATGTGATAGCACGTTTGCAGTGGGGGTCTGGGTCACGTGAGTAGCCTGAGACTTGGGGTCACGTGATATCAGTCCACCTTGCGAACAAAAGGTACTACCTTGGCAACATCAACTACAAGACACATGCTGCGAGAGTGACCTGGTAAGTTTGTGATGGTCTAGAGAGGGTTCTTCATTTTGAAAAAGTCATCGAAAAATCCCCAACGAACATCATGACATGAGAGCCGATCTCCAACATCTTCGTTCCCAAGGGGATGTGACCTTGACCAAACATATTACACCAGGTCGAGTCGCCGAGGCTTGTTCTTCCAAATGAGCAAGCCTGCAGATTGATGACATGGCTCTGCTGGTCTGCTGGTCATCGATCATGTCGTTCTCGGGATCTAGTACCGCCCAACGCCGGTGCAAATGCTGCTTTGAAAACCCGAACGCCGTCTAATGCTGCCTGGTCTCCTTCTTCGGCGGCACAACAGGCGCACCACTCAACTCGGCGTCTCTCGGTCCAGTCTTTCATGGGTCGTAACTCATCACATATTCTGTTCAATCATCACTTGACTACTTTACTGGGTCTGGCATTGAGCCTGTTGAGGACCATCGTCGTCTTCCCAACCATCATGGCCCTCGTGACCGCCGATCTCCTCAATATCAGCAACCTCGAAGGGGACTTCATCAGCCTCCTCGGCCTCGATCGGTGGAGGTGGTGGTGGAAGCAGTCTCTGCAGAGCCTCCAAGGCCGCCGGGTCGGAGAAGTATCCGTCCTGGGGGAACTCGATTTCGACGAGTAGATAGAGATCGCCTTTGGCGTCGCTCTTCTTCAAAGGCATACCTTCACCGCGGACCTTAAGGACTTCACCCGGTCGAAGGATCTGACCGGGTGTTTGAGGATGGTTGAGTTCGATGCCCCGCCCATCAAGATGCTTGAGGACGACACGATGGAAGCCGGTCAAAGCCTCGCCCAGAGTGATGGGGAGTTTCGCGGTGAGATCGTTGCCGCTGCGTTGGAAGGTTTCGTGCGGAAGTTCAACGAGATGGAAGATGATGTCTCCCGTCTGCTCCGCGCCCGGGACCTGGTCTGCCTCGCCCTCGAGTTTGATCTGGTCTCCTTCCCGGGCGCCACGAGGAATGTAGAGTTCGAGTTGTTTTCGTTCTTCCGTGACCCGCTTACCCTTGCATTTCTTGCATTTGTCCTTGGGATTCCAGACCTGGCCGGTTCCTTCACAGGCACCGCACTCGACCATCCGTTGAGTTAACATTCCCGGACCAACCTGGCTGAGGATTTGCCTGACACCTTTACCCTTGCAGGTTGAACATTCCTTCGGTTGGGCCTTCTCGACACCACCGCTGCCATTGCACTTGGAGCAGATGACGTTCTTTGTGCTGGAGAATTTCACTGTCTTGCCCTTGTACAGGTCTTCCAAAGTCACCTCGTATTTCTGGTTTTCATCGGGACTCCGTCGCATCTTGCGTGCCCCTCCCATGCCGGGCATGCCTCCGCCCATGCCGAACATGTTCAAGATGTCTTCCATGTTGACTTCTGCACCCATGCCGCCGGGACCTCCTCTTGAGCTGTCAAATGCGGCCATGCCATGTCTGTCGTAGAGCTGCCTCTTTTCGTCATCGTACAGGATTTCGTAGGCCTGGCTCGCAGCCTTGAAGCGAGCTTCAGCTTCTTCCTTTTGGTCTTCCGGGACTTTGTCAGGATGATTGGCGAGGGCGGCCTTGCGGTAGGCTTTTCTTATGTCGGCCTGGGAGGCATCTCGTGGGACGCCGAGGATCTCGTAGAGATCAACGTCGTTGTTATCAGAGCTGTGTTGTTCGCCGTTCATGTTTGAGATTGTTGAGGAACTTGTCTTCGATGGTAGTGGAAAGGATTTGAGGTGGTTGGGGTTCTTGATGATCGAAATGATCGGAGGGTAAGTTAAAATCTGGAGATAAATCTGCCAGGATCAAAGGGTTGAAACTTCGAGTACGTAACACGCAGTTGTTGGAATCTTAAGTTAGTCTCGAGCGATCAGGCAGTCAAAAGGCCGTGAAGCATGATCCGAAACTTACGGCGGAGCAACTGTGCAACACTTATCCTCATTAAGGTGGTTACCTAATTGTTTACTAATACACATTACTCTGTACCACTTACCGCAGCCGTGGCAAGACTCGACAGATACGCCTTGAATATTCTCGCGCATTCGAAACCACCAGCAACTTTTCTCTCTGTTGGATTACCACATCTTGCATTCCGGCAATACTCACGGCTAGTCCATTCCAGATCCATGAGGACGCGCCCGAGCGCCAGGCTTGCCTTTGCCTCTGCCTCTGCCTCTTCCACCGGCTGGATCTGCAGATCGTGTCGTGCCCATGAGGCGCTGGTAGCGGAATATCTTCCCCCTGTGCCCAGCCTCGTCAAGACTCGAAAGTCTTCCACCACCACCAAGTCTACGTCTCTCCGGAGAGGAAAACTTCCTGACACACCCGCTCGAACACGATTCGCGCCTTCACCCACAGGCAACCTCCATCTCGGATCGATCCGTACAGCTCTCTTCAACTACCTCCTTGCGCGAGCCACCAAGGGCCAGTTCCTCCTCCGCATCGAAGACACCGACGCAAAGCGGACAGTGCCCGGCGCAGAAGAGAGACTCTACGAAGATCTGACATGGGCAGGTCTGCACTGGGACGAAGGGCCCATCGTGGGCGGCCCATACGGCCCCTACCGACAGTCCGAACGGATACCCACATACAAAAAGCACATTGAGAAGCTGCTGACCAGCGGCCGAGCGTATCGATGTTTCTGTTCCTCCGAACGAATCGACGAACTCAACCGCCGTCGACACGACAAAGGACTCAAGCTGGGTTACGACCGGAAATGCACCCATCTCTCGACTGCGGAAGCCGAAGAACGAGCGTCTCGCGGTGACCAGCATGTGATCCGGTTCCGCTCACCGGAGACATGGCCACGATACAACGACCTTGTCTACGGCCGGAGCGGACACGGCGCAGAGAAGACGAAGAAGCTACTGGCCGATGAACCGGTCTACGAAGACACGATACTGATTAAGTCCGACGGCTTCCCGACATATCACTGGGCGAATGTGTGCGACGACCACGAAATGCACATCACCCATGTCGTGCGTGGCTCGGAATGGATGGCTTCGACACCACTTCACGTGGCACTGTATGAGTCCCTGGGCTGGACCGTGCCTCTTTTCGCCCATGTCCCGCTCCTCGTGGACCAGAACCGGCAAAAACTAAGTAAACGCAACTTCGACTCGGACATCTCGGGTTTTCGCGCAAAGGGCATCTTCCCTGACGCGCTGGTCAACTTCGCAGCCTTACTGGGCTGGTCGCACACGCAGAAGAACGATGTGCTCGATCTGCCCCAGCTCGAGCGCCTCTTCGACTTGAAGATCACCAAGGGCAACACCATCGTCTCCTTCGACAAGCTGCAATACCTCCAAATCAAGCATGCTCGACGCAGGGTCGAAGCCGGGGGCGAGCCGTTCGAGCAGATGATCCGCGACGTGGCTGTCGCTGTTTTGCACCGGTACGGCGCCGCGCGCGTCATGCAGGTTCTGGCCAAACGTCCTCTCCGCGACGTGCTCGCGACGATCTTGAGAGTCGGGTCTCTGCCATACCGATCCGCCGTGGATTTCGCAGAACAGTGCTCCATATTCTTCGAGCCTGCGTCTCCTCCGACAGTGGAACAGCTGGAACATGCAGCGATCGATCCTGCACATCTGCATTATCTGCGTGTTGCAGCGTCTACACTGTGTCTTGTTCCCGAGTCCGACTGGACTGAGGCCGTCCACCACTCACAGCTGCGCATGCTGGAACAAGTCCCCGATGAGAGTGTTCAAGACGCAGCGAAATGGAAGCGCGATCTCTACCATTACCTGCGTTGGGCCTTGATCGGTGGAGAAAGTGGCCCCGGGGTCGCTGTGACCCTGGAGATTCTCGGTCGCGATGCATCGATCGATAAGATTCAGGCTGCGAATCGGATGTCGCAAGAGTATGAGATGGACAAGACCAAGCCTGTCATTGAGGCACAGGCGTTCAAGGGCACCGTCGACGGCAAGAGACGACTCGACAAGGAGTGGAAGGGGTATACCTTTTAACCTTGCTGTCATGTACTACTGTCATGTACAACTACTATTAGAACGAAGTCTTCATTCAAACCGGGCTCTCTGGTGCCCCAATGGTCCTGCCATACCATAACATCCAACAATGTCTTGCGTCACGCTCTGTTCGTTTTACTCTCTTTCTCTCCGAAATGTGGGCTCTCTTTGTAAAAGCACGAGAACTGTGGTCTACCAGTACAAGAGTGAGAGGGAAAACGTTGATCAAGGACCAAACCAAGCATGATATCGGCATGTTCTTCTGCCTGGCTTGAGATTGTGAGATCGGCTTTCCTATGATTGCATGCCTTTCCGTTTTATGGTTCGAGTTGCTGCAGGCTCAGCCAGGACCACAAACCGACTCATGAGACGCCTCCCTCTTATCTTAGCTTTATTGCTGGAGTGTGACTGTTTAGTACACAACGCAGAGACTGTACGCTTACACTCTCAGCAGGTTGACGTCAGGCTGAACAGCCCGACAGCTCCGAGTGTTCTCTTGCCTTTTGGGTGTCACCGATCAAACAAACACGATTCTTGAGAGCTTGGCTCGGAGCTCAACCGTACAGAATACATGCTTCATATTTCACTCGGTGACCTCTCGAACCAACTCCCAGTTCCCCTTCAGATCTTCCTTCCACAGCGTGACCTTGTTATCGCCGCCACTAACGGCCAAGATATTCCCGCTCAGACTCCAGCTGACACGCCACAAGACGGCATCAAACTCGAGTGTCTTGGCAAGCGTCCACGATCCTGCCGCCATGTCTGGAGTGGAATTGGTCCAGATCTTGACCGTCTTGTCCTGACTGGCGCTGGCAATATACGTCTTGGACAATAAGGTAGGCGACCACGACACGTCACGAACCCAGTCGGAATGGCCCTGCGGCAGAACTGCGGTGTTCTCGTATGTCTGCGATGTGGCGTTGAAATCCCAGATCTTGACGGCATTGTCGCTGCCGCCTGTGACGAAGCGTCGAGTCGGTGGGTTCCCTGTACCGCCGTCCTTGCGCGCAATCGCTCCTGGAGCACCCGCTGGCGCCCAGCTCACTGCATTGACGCCCATAGGGTGGGCGGGGAAGATCACATGGGCCCATTGGTTGTCTCGGAACTCTAGAACGCTGACGTTGCCATCGGATGACGCGCAGGCGAGCAGACATCCCAACTCCGGCGGTGCCCATGATACCATGTTCACCGAGGCTGTGTGAATTGTCGAAGTGAAGACGAGAGACCATGTCGGTTGTTGGTTGGGTTGTTGTGCTGGGGTTTCGCGATAGATGTGTACGCGGCCGTCGTAGGATGAGGATGCGAGCAGAGTGCCGAATTTCGGGTGAGCCCAGCTTACGCACCAGACGGCCCCGTCATGACTGTCACGGCGTGACTGATTAGTAGTTGCTCCAATGCGTAGCGTTGGTCCGCCAAACTATGCACAAGAATGGGTGATAAGAGAGTCAAGGGGCAGACAAGACAGTCGAAGTAGAACATACCCTTTCAATGTTTCCGTTAGTCGGTGCTGGTCGCCGTCAATCTCAAAGATCTTGATCGTCTTGTCGCTGGAACATGTTGCCAGCCGCCGGCCATAGTAATCTAATACCGCATCGTGCTGTTTAGGTCTCATGTTAGTGTTGTTCTCGAATAGTACCTGGACGTGCTGGTTCGAAGGATGGTGCTCCGGGCCGCAGGAGGCATATCTGATGACACCAGAATGCCTGCGCGTGAGGTGGCTGATCTTGCAAGAGAGGGAAATCGAGGACAGGATGTCGAGAACCGACAAGACATTGGACGTACAATCATATCATCGTGGCCCGAGTTCGCAATGACCTGCGCCTGTTTGTCGTTCGAGTCAGCAAATGTATCAATATGTCTCCAGAGTATGTGCTGCTGCACCGTCAAGCATCGCACACGTAGCAGCAGAAAAATAAAGCGCAAAAGAAGCAAGCTCCAACAGTGCCTCCCAAACAAGCAGCCGTTTAATCTGGAAGTGATTCCTCCCCAGTGAGCATGATTTCACCCTGCAGTGGTATTCCACCTCTTATGCAGCATAACTTCAATCTGGATTCATCATATTACCCTCTGCCCATAGGTTCTTCCCACATTTCAATATAACCCATTTATCTTCCTCAAATTGGATATAATACAGCTCTTTTCATCAACTCCAATATCGCAGCATCCCCGGATCTCTCAACGGCCGACAGCCGCCACTCACAGTGACTGACACGTCCTAGGTTACCGAAACAAGCAGAGACGCGCGTCTGTATATCGCAGAGCAATCATAAACACGCCGAGGCCCGCCTGAATATCCTCCATCCTTCCTCTCGCGTACCATGAGATCAAGATTAAAAAGGCCAAGTAGAACCCGTCGCAGCATCTGGGGAGCTCGAAAGAAAGAAGAAAGCTAAAACTCGCGCCAAATCGACGAAGAGGAACATACCATTTTCGCGAGTCAATAGTCTTCTCTTGCTAATAGACAACGACGACAACACTGCAACCTTTGTCCCAATGTTCTGAGGCAAATAAGGAAGGAGGTAGGGAGGCTGGCTGGCTTTTTCGAGATCGATGCGCAACGCCGAAGGAGTGTTCGTATGTGTTCTTTCGAAGTGCAAGATGCAGGAACGTGTCCAAAGTACGGGTAGGTATCAGGTGCAGCCAACTATCGCATAACCGTCTTTGTTTCGAACCGGGATCGAATCGAGAGCGCGCTGGCCTTCAAGTTTCAGTCAGGTAGTTCGAGAGTCGTTGGGGAGATCTGACGTGGACGAAGCAAACTCGGATCGTCCAGATCGATGGGAAGGACGGATGGGCACAGAGATACCGGGATAGTGTGGTGGGTGGGATTCGGGTTCTGTTGTTCCTGGGGGACTTCGATGGGATGTTGGTCGATCTGGCATCAATTAAATGACAGGCCTACGAGAGAAGGGAAGCGGCGCGCCGCAGTTAGTAACTCCGAGTTCAATTAGGTACCTACTACGGGTAGTAGTAGTAGTAGTATGTAGAATTGGTGAGCCAAGCCACGTCAAGATCTTATCTTATCTTATCTTATACTTTTATCATCATCCTGATCTGCCAACGACATAGTACTGTATCATCAACCATACCTGTACGTGTCACGTATCATGGCGCAGCCATCTCATACAGACAGCCTTCCTCTCTCATCACCACTACACATCTCGCCGCTACTATACCTAGGATGTCAGTAATGATCGATCAAGTATAACTCGAAAATCTACTCTCACACAGGGTGCCGCGATCTCATGTGATTCTCATAGAGGGAACCATGCGAAGTCCTGTGATCGTAAAAGTCCACCAAGCCGATGCAGAAGCACGCAAGCTTCCAAAATTCCACAAGACAACCGACTTCGGTCGAGTATACAGTGCACCCATTCCTAAGGCTGGTGCTGGTGCTGGTGCTGGTCTCAACCCCATATGTGACATGAAATCCCAAACGCCTTGCTGCCTCCTGGACAGGTCACGCCCTGGTCCATTGGCTCCTGGGGGAGAAGAAACTTCCTTAGGACTGATGAATACCGATACCAATCCCCAATTCTCGAATGCGCCATGAATGAGGACTCCAACGTCTGAAAACAAAACGAAGAAGAAGAAACAAAACTCAACATGGCCACCTCCTTGAGACCCTTGCTTGACGTACAGTGAGCAGAAAGTGCTTCGGCGCAAAATTGGGATATTCGTTTATATGAGGTGGAAGAAGGAGAGAATATGCGGTTTTGGGGAGCGGTGGAGATGTTTCATCGTCCCAGTGGAACGGTATGTTTGTGCAAACCCTTCGCCCAGACCGGAAGCTGCTTGTCTCGTTCGTAGATCAGTCCACAATTGTTGCACAACGTCTAGATCAGCCACGTTAGCATTTGCAAGATCACAGACAGAAGCAACCGGAAGAAACTCACTCTTGGTCCAAGAGGCCCATCTCGGACAGCCCACACTGCGTTGCCGGGGATGAGACAATGCTTGCATCTCCAATTTTGCCTCTCATGTTCTTGGAGTCGGTTGCCCTCGCCTCCCCAGCCAGCACCAGCTGAACTTCCGCCCTCTGGGGTCTGTGCCTTAGACACCGGGCTGATCGATCGGAACCTTCGCTTCCTTCTGTTCCGTTCTCCACGGCCCATGAGCGGCGTTTCATTGCCATTCATCCCCACCGAAATATAGTCGAAGTAGCTGCCGCGTTGTTGGGCCTCTTGCTCCCGAGCTGATGGTACCATGCCGGCCGTGGAACTGAATTTGGCAGTCTCCCTCCGTAACCGCCTCAGTTGCCGTTCTCGGTCGCCTTCTCGCTTTTCGATCTCCTCCTTGCTCAATGCCTCGAATTTCGGTTCCCACTCAGCCCCGAAATCGTCCACGTCGTATCTCCAACCAGCCCCTTCCTCAGCACGTACTGCTTGATTGTCAATTTCTCCTCCACCCCAGACACCACCTCCCATCATGATCATGCCACCTTCACAAGCCTCCTTCTTCAACCGTAGCACAGCCTCGTAGATTGCATGAGTGATAGCCATGACCCATTCACCACCCAGTCCCATGTCTGCACATGTTTGCTTCGCAAAGGCTTCGGCGGCTCCAGATGGGTGTAGTAATGACCATTCAAACTTGTCTTGGTAGAGTCTGGAAGAGAGATAGATGGACAACGTGATGACACAACGATAAGTGTCATCCGGATTGAGGGTCGGATCTCCAGCAGCAGCATCATCAGTAGAATCTGTCGGTGGTTCGCGCGGTAGGGGAGAGGCAGTAGCCGTGACGGTTGCGCCATTGCTCAGCGTGATGGGTCGAGGAGTTGAAGGTACTGGGGTTCCAGGTGTCGTGGAGGCTGGCCGTGATATTGATCCTCCGAGCAGTAGCCGGGGCGTTCCGTCTCGAGAGCTTTCATTTGCCATGGCCGAAGGTGTCGGGGCATTGTTGGCGTCCGCCATCTGTGCGCGTTTCGGCTGTGTATGAAACAGGGGATGCATGGCGACGCCTGCATAGTCTTCTAATTGCGTGCGGATTTGCTGGCTGACGTTCATGGCAAGCGCGTTCTGGTTCGGTAGGTCAAGCTCTCGGACGAAGTTGGCAGCAAAGTCGTCGGGGGTGAGCAGTTCTTCGTGCAGGTTCCAGAGGAAGATGTCGCGAATCTTGTAACCCGGGGCCATCTCAGGTCTCTTGTACATGGGAAGGGAGGCGTTCACGCCTACGTCCATTCCATTTCGAGGCAGTGGATAGGGTGGTTCCGGCTGATGCGGCGGCACATCCAAATCAATCCGTATGGGTATAAGAGTGAGGGGGAGTTGTGCCTGGACATGGGCTTGCGCATCGGTTCTGTGGGAGGCAATAGTGTTAACAATATCCGGGTAATAGCTGGAAGGGACTCTGACATACGTGGGCCTATTCGTCCTCCTAATGATCCAATCTCTGTATATGGGTTGTAACTCGACGGGTTCATGTAGTTCCTTGCCGACCTTCACTTGTTGCGGCTCCTTCTTCTCCAGTTCTTCGCGCCGGAGCGATCGCAGGCCTGTCGGTCGCCTCGCACCGTCACCATCGTCAAAGTCATCTTCGTCATAAGCATCGTCGGCATAATTGATTATCGTTGTCCCTCGTTTAGTCGTGCGACTGGTCGGCGCGAGATTCTGAGTTTGGAGGATAGGTTGGAGGAGAGTGTTGGCGTATTGACGAATCCGGGGAGCATAGCTGGTGACGAAGGATTGCGCGGGAGCCATGGTGGACGAGAAAACACTAGATTGACATAGCAAATACTAACGGGCAATGGCAGAGCCGAATGCTACTGCGGTTCAAGTTGCGCTGACCCCGTCGGAGGAAACACGGTCTTGTCTACAAACCGCACGTCAAGTCGTGAAATGTTCGGAATCGCGACTCGCCCTTCGCTTCTCTGCGCCAAGCCCATATCGCGCATCTTATGTAAGCCAGCCTATCATCAACCATTTGCCTAAGCTTCACGCTCCTCAGGAAGGTACAAGCTAAACCCGAGGATGACGCTATAGAGAGCGACAATGGACACCAAAAGGGTCGGTGTATTGGATGCCCTCCTATTCGTGTACAACTTTCCCCCACAGACCTTGCGCCCGTTCTGGTATCAATAAAACTCCTAGTCCATGCACGATTGTGGGATATCACCAAATTGATCTTGTATGAAATGACCCGATCAAAAACAAGGAGAACAAAAAGCAACAACGACCGCGACAATTGTGTCACCGCAAGCCAATGACACTCTGTCTCAATTGTAAGTACAGACCGCCACATGTCGGGTTAGAATCACTTACCATTTCAAGAGTCCATACCCTCCGTATCCATACTTTGACCTTGCCTTCGACGCCATCAATGTCCTCTAGCTCAACACCTTCCCACCAGCACCTTCGGGCGGGCTTTCGCCAAAACAGCAACAATTTCTGGGCCATGCCAACGGCGTTACTTCCGGCAATGTCACCTTTGACGTCTGTCCGTAAGCGAGCCAAAGCTAAACTGCATATGACCGCCTTGTTCGGTTCTCCTGCTCGATGACCCCATGCGTCGTCGTGATTGAAACCACTGATCAGGAAAGATTAGTAAGTCTTCACCAACATGACAGAATCACGTACCCAGCAGTCAGCATTTCAATCAAATGCTGCTCTGTCGTCCCGACCTCTTCGCTTCTCTTGAGACCGGAGAAGATGCCGTTCTGTTTGAGTAGGGCCCGGCCTGCTGCGCGTTTGACTTCGGTCATTTCCAGCTGTTCAATGTCCGGTCGGGGAGGGATAACATAGAAGTCGAGATCCTCCCTGAGCACGATGATCCCGGCTCTATCTTGAAGCATGTCTTTCGTGGACCCCTGTAGTGGTTCGATCGACATCGGATCGTGTTCGGGTGGAGTGGTCGGCGAAGGAGATGCCGAGGGTATCGATTGCGCAACATCGCGGAAGAAGTTCAACATATATTGGAGAGAGGCAGGGTCATACTGTGAAAGATACGTTACATCTCCGATATAGATACAAGGGTTGCCAAGAATAGAAATGACATGGGGGCGTTGGGATAGACCTACGTCGACCGGATAGACGTCGCCATCATGAAACGCATTCATGTGACCGTCCGGGAGAAGACCGTTGGGAAATAATGACAACAACACGAACTCGGGAAGGGTCAACAATTCATCTCGGGATAGGGTGAATTGCGTCCCTCTGGAAGATGGTCAGTCCTCGTAGGCTCATCCAGCGCAGAAACCCGCGGGACATACCTCAGGTCCAACGTAATGTGTTCATCCGCTGCAGCTTCTCCCGCTATCGACTCGATCAGTACATGAGAAAAGCCGTATTTTTGCAAGTGATGGCCTACCTCCTAATGTATTGATGGGTGGACCCGGTGTTTGCTGAACCTGGGTGATGATGCTGGCAGCACCGCCAGCGGCCGCCATGACGAAGGTGAAGGAATCGAGAGGACTTGACCCTTCTGTGTACGGTGGCGGAGGCTCCCCGTCGTCGATTGCCTTGGAAGACTCGGCCTTGGTGTCCTGCGGAAGGGCAGCCTTGGTCTCGGCCTCAGCCTTGGACTCGGCTTCGTCTGCGGCGAGAGCCTCCTCGAACGAGGGCGCCGGGGCTGCGGTGAGGAGTGACTCGCAGGCAGTCTCGGTGACGGTGGCCCTGATGCTGTCGAGTTCGGCGTCGGTAGGGAAGTAGAGGGAGGAGAATGGAGGCGGTCGTGGTGAGGGTGGACTCGACGAGGATGCTTCAGACGTGGGAGGATGAGGAGGCGGAGCAAGGTATGTCTTGTCGTCAGAAGTGTCGATGGAGTTGTAGGCCGACAACGCCGTGGTGGGCGATTTGAAGGCAATGCCCAAGGTCAATGAAATCAGTTGAGCGGGTTGTGCTGCCACTGCATCTATCAGCCTGTCGGTGATGGAGCGAAAGCGCGCAACGGTGAGATGGTGGCGCTCTCCAGTTTAGCTTCAACAGAGGTTTGGTGCTGATGACAAGGTCGCAGCAGTAACGCGCAAAGATGGCGGGAGAATGCTAGATTGTTGTCGCTTGTAGGACATGGGAATCGGTCAACGTGCTGAGTGTGGATTGAACATTGAGCATTGAGCATTGAGCACTGAGAGAATGGCGATAGGGTTTACAGATGATCGAGTTTAGTTGCAAAGCGGACGAGGTGACCAGTTTCGAGGAATGTAGCGACTGGGCGCCAGCCACCTACTACTACCTATACTACTACTACTACAGAGTGCAATTGGCAAGGAACATGGTGTAACAGGAGTACTATGTACTGCTTACTAAGGTACCTACTAACCTACCTGTAGGTACCTATGTGCCTTAGGTAGGTAGGTACTAGGTACAGTACCTTCGCAAAAGTCATAGGGCAGGCCATTTTCACACCTAAAATCAAAAATACCGAGGTGTTTTTTATAGTATCCTTAAAAGATAATCCCGTATTAACTAGTTATCTATATATAGATAGCTAATACTAGTAGCTTTTAAATATAAATATTTTTAGTAAACCCTCTAGTTATTAAGATATCTTATCTTAAAGTAAAATACAGAGGAAAAAGGTTCTTTTCCCATATGTTAGGAGTCATGCAAAGGCAAGTGTGGCATGAGATCCAACATGAGCCACTGGACAAAGGAAGGCAGGATTGCCGAGAAAAGAGCACGTGAGACTTTACGAGGCAAGGCCTGGGTCACGTGACGTGATCAGTATGATCAGCCTTGATCAGTCGTGACCAGTGACTGAGCACGCTGAGCATGCTGAGCACAGCAGAGCACTACGAGTCTCTTATGTCTATATAGTCTTCCATCTTTCCATAGCAGTTCATAGTCTCTCGTAGTCAACTTCGTTCACAAGCTAGACGTTACCATCGCGTTGATAGCTTTCGTTCTGACTTACCCTTGTGCCCTGGAATACTGTCCTCCTGCCTTCCCACACATCAGGAAACCCTGATCGATATCGTGACCCCAAGGAACGATTCGTGACACCATACTAATTTTAAATTACGAAGTTTAATCTAGGATATCTCTACTACTAGAGGAGCTATTTAAAGATTTATATATAAAAGTTACTAGAAATTGGTAGTTCTATATAGGTAACTTCTTATTACGTAAGTATATATAGAGTACGATATAAAACACCTCGGTATTTTTGGTGAATTTAGGTGTGAAAATGGGGGTGCCCTATGACTTTTGCGGAGGTACTGTAACTAGATCGCTTTACTTGCCGGGGCTGCTCGCTGATTTTCTAGGTCTCATTAGCCGGGGCTTGGGCTAGGGGGCTAAGGGCTATGGAGGCTCCTTAGGCTACCCCTTAGGCTAGGGCTTCCTAGCCCCCCTAGCTCTAAGGCCTAGGGACTTCTCACCGCGCACCCTACTGGTAACACCGGAAACCCTGTATATTCCAGGCTCCCCTACTAATACGATCATGGCAGTCTAGCATGAACAACACAAAGTCTACTCATCTTGAGCATAGACTCGTTAGAATATTCAGTCGTATCATTTGGTCATAAATTACTAGCTATCGTTGCCCTGCTTCAATGCCCTCTCTGTCTCGCAGCAAATGCTTTCTTCCTTTGCGAGGAGATAATTCCATTCTCTGCAGCAGCCACAAGCACCACCCACTCATCATCATGTATACGGATTGCGAGTACCACTTTGTGCTTCTGCTCAATGGTCAGCAATGCGTTGCTCGGAAGGTTTTCACGGCGCCGGAATCACTTTACAGGAGCCCAATGCTCGACGAGCTCTTGCTGGATCGATTGACAACTTACCTTCATACTGCCTCATTTGATATTCCAGATCGCCCTTGAAGGCCATCATGATGGTGACAACATTGTTCAAGTCCTCCATAGTCATCTGCCGGCTCTCGGCTGAGGCCACTCCCATGGTCGAGGTGACAATATTTCGAATCTGTCGACCGTCGAATTTCTTCTTGTACAGTTCTCGCTTCACCCAGATCATAATGTCCGCGTACGTCTTGGGCTGCACAAGTCCTTTGGCCTTGTATTGCTCCAGGAAGCCCTCGAAGATGTCGACCGTCTGTTTCTTGTCCAGTCCTTCGTAGCGGATGGCGATGTGGATTCGGGACTGAACCGCCACGTCGAATTGTGCGATTTGGTTGGTCGTCAGGATCAGAATTCCTTGATAGTATTCAAGAACTCGGAGGAAAACTGGACATCACATCATGGGGTTAAAGGGGTGGTCTGGATTGAGGGCTTCAGAAGACACACCAGAGACCAAAGCATTTCGTTCCGTTGTCGGACCCATCTGTCCTCGTGCTCGGCTTTGTAAGAAGACATCTGCTTCGTCACTGATCCAGAACGTCAGTCAAGGGGGTGCGGGGGCTGAAAGGGATTCGAAGGGCGTTCAATTACATGAGAAGGATGGCCCTCCATGTTGTCGCCAGGTCAAATATCTTTTCGAGATTGGATTCGACCAGTTTCGCAGAAGTACCCACGTCGGCCACTCCGATGGAGAACAAAGGCTTCCGAGCCGCAACGGCAATGGTTTGAGCTAGTGTGTGGTCAGCTTCGACAAAGGATCGGACTCAAAGAACCACCGCGAGCGTTGCGTGACATACCTGTCGACGTCTTGCCCACCCCTGGAGGTCCTGCGAGGCATCAGATCCGTCTCGAGACATAACTTGTCCAGCACAAGTTGGCGATGCTGCCACTCACCGTAAAGGAGGATGACCAGGCCCTTGCCCTTCTCCGGCACGATGTCATTCAGCTGGTAGCCGCCTCCTGTCTCACTGATGCCGTGATTCTTGACCAGTCCGTGGAGCAGCTTCTTCGTTTCCATGCCGCCATCCTCTCCCGCCAACTTCAACTTCTCCCAAAAGGCATCATCGTCTCCTCCTTCCGGAAGACCGATGATCCCATTGACGTCGAGCTGGGCCCATTGCTTGTCCCGGAGGACGTAGCCCAACAGACGCGGCGGGCATAACATGGTCTGTTCCGCCTCCCACTGCTCACCCTCATCACCCGTCTTGTTATCATAGTAGACGCGATACGTCCTCCTCAACGCATCATTGTTCATGCAGTCTGAGCATTGACATTCGTCCGTGTCGTCGCCGAGGGCTAAATCTCCGATCAGTGCCTCGGCCAGTCCGTACTTGTAGTAAGATTCAAAGTCAACCATGACGTCGCCGTCGACCTGCGAGTCCCCCTCAGTATTCATGCCTGTAGCCTCACGCCCAACCAAGACCTACCATTGATTGCTTTCCTTTCTTGTCGTTCAGGTTGTCATCTGTCCGTGAAATCAATCTCAGCCCGTCTGCACGGTTGCTGTTATACTCTTCGTCGTCATGATCCTGACCAGAAGTCGGTCAGCAACGAAAGAAGCAGATGAGATTCTAAAAAGAAAAAGAAAACGACGTATGCGTACCAGGTTGGCACTGACCCCTCGAAAGCCTTTTCTGTCCACGATGCACTTTCCAGCATATTTGAACATGCGGCTTTCCTTTGGGACAGTGCAATACTTTCGGAAGAGGTTCCCTCGGGTGATCAGCTTCTGCTTGACTTCCTCCACGTTCTCTGTGTCCTCTAGTGGATGCGCTGGCAACGAGGCGATGGGTCTGGGGCCTTCGAAATAGTCGATGCTGAGAGTGATTGGGCGGCGTTGAAAGACTTGCCCATTCCAATCGTATGTCCAGCATGACAAGCTGAAGCGTGAGCGGCTCCCCTGCCGGGGCCATATGCGCGCATTATCCTGCACAATAAAGATTTGGTCGTACTTGAGAAACTGGCGACTGTACACCAGCGTGCCCGGTGGGAAGATGGTCCACAGATTCTGGTAGGTGATGCTGCGCGAGGCTTTCAGGGTTTCTCGGATTTTGAAGTAGTCATCTAGCTTCTCGTCGCCCGAGCCTTCCTTGATGGTATGCAGGAGGAGTTTGAGGTCGTCCCGAGCCACCTGGTCTTTCTCATTCTTACCTTCCTTGTTCGCCTCGGTCACCAGGAGGTCCCAGTTGAGGACGAGGCATTCGTAAGGAGAGCTCAGAGACACGGTTTCTCCTAGGAAATGGTGGTAAGGATAATGCTTGAGAAGGCTTTTAAGAAGGAGGCGCAGGTCCGGGTTGAAGATCTCAACCTCGCCTTCGTCGTCGTCGTCAGGATAGAGGTATTTTCTCAACTGGAAAGCGAATTTGCTCTCCAGTTCGTTGCCTTTGAGCGGCGTAGCGGCCTCAGCAGCCGGGATATCTTGCCTTGTGCCTGACTCGGTGTCCAATTTGTTCACCACAACTCGAGCACGAGAAGTGGGCTAAAAACGTGAGCGGTCACAATGTGCCTCACCTTGGGTTCTCGGGGCTTGCTTACTGGTTGCTCGTTGCGTTCACCATATTTGCCCTCTTCATCTGCCTTCTTCCCTTTCTCTACTTTGTCGCCTTTGTCTGTGTCGCCTTTTGCACTACCGTCGGGGAGCGCCTGTGGTTTGAGCTTGTGGTAATAGGATTCTAGCTCCGCTATTTTGGCTTCCAATGATTTGATCTTATCCTCGACCGGAGTCTGCGACACCTCGTGAGTGGGATCCTGCTCAAGCATCGGGCATTCCACCGTATCTCACCGGAAGGCTGATCCCTTTACTAGGGTCTGGACTCATGGCTGCTGGTCTGCCTTTCATCAACGAAGAAGAGGCTGTGTTTTTCAACGAGGCGGCGCCTCTATAAGCAGATAGACAGACAACAGCTAGTAACCAATTCGACCGGTACACGGCTGGGCGGTTGGGGGCTCAGGCCGCCAACAGGCTGCTGGTCGTCGGCTATCCTGATGATCCCAGCCAAAGGCGCATATGTGGGTGGTAGAGGTGCAGAAGTCCCACACCCCATCTTTAGGACTGCGTGCAGGTATCGGGCTGGGCAGACCGCTGCGGCTGAGCAAGAGACCGCTGGACACCAATTTCCGAGACAACCAGTTTCGAGGGCGTACGTTGGACCAACAAGGATTGGCGACTCACATCTCGACACGTGTGTGACCATCGCAGGGCGCTAACAAGTTGACCCATGATGGATGGCCTGATTTGAGATATGACAGGGGTAGCCAAACCCCCCAACTCTCCTCGTCGTGATCGAACGAGAAGGAGGGCATGAGGACAAGCCTCACGGAGGGAAAACCATGCATCTAAACTGGCGGTCCAGACGACGGCTGTGGATATGGCTCACCCGCCGTCCGGGCTTACTGAGGCGGAATTGTAAGTCATAGCACACCACTGAGTGAACAATGATATAGTATAGGTCCCTGACAGCCTCGTGCAGACAACGATTCCGGGATGTCGAGGAGAAACAGAAGAGATTGCACGAGTGGCTGAGGTCGAGGAGTCTGGCTCCGGACGAAGCAAGAGCCGTCAGTTGCAGGAGTCAAGCGGACTTTGTGCAATTCTGGTCCAGTATCAGTGGAGATGCTCAAACCAAGTACGATGCACGACATAAGAAAGGCTGGCGACTATGGTCGAAGAGATATCAGACCTTTTCCGGCGGTGTGATCTCTTTCATGAAGGACATGGAGCCCTTGCTCGACATAGTGAAAGCGTTTGGCGTCCCCTATACTGGAGCTGCCGTTGGAACAATTACGGGACTTTTCGTGGTAAGCCACCCTCAATTCCGGGTTGTACGTTGACATGAGACCCTCGAGCTGACAGCAACCAAAGTTCGCAGGCCGGAAAACCATCATGGAAGGGAAAATCTCCTCGGCACTCGAGGGTGTGAAGGACAGATTGCCAGGCTTCAAGATGTACGAGTACATCTACAGAGCTGAGACGGAGCTGGAGACAGACCTGAGGAAGAAGATACTGTTCGCCTACCTTGCCTTTATTGACTTGTCCATTGAAATCACCAAGTATTATTTTCGGCCCGCGATCTGTGTGTCAAACCCTTCCTTTCAAAGCTGGAGTTGCATCTAACGTCTGTCGAAAGACCGCTGGATGATAGCATCGTTCAATTCGAACAAGTTTGATGAAATGACCGAAAACGTCTTTGATCTGGTGGTCGCCATCAGAATGAGATGTGAGGAACTGTTGAGCCGCAATATATCAGAGATTAAAGAACAGAACGAAGGTAACATCAAGCTGGAACGGCCTTGAAGCCACTGCTAACGTTCATTCGGCATGGACAGAGCTCCTGCGGGATAAAAACATCAGTCATGTCATGGAGATACAGAAGCTTCTTGGGCTCGAGTCATGGACCCCAGAGGCACATAATGAGACGCTTCTGAAATACAAGTTGCAGTTGAACGACGAGTGTGTCCAAGAGGTCAACTATGAGCACGTGTCGGTTGACAGCAATCTCTGGCGTTCCGTGTCAAACGATTGGGAGGCAACCGGCCAGTCACAACTGCTCCTGCTAGTGGGAGTCAATAATGAGAACGTCGCTCAGGGCAAAAGGTACAATTGGATATCACCACTTGCGCTTGACATAGCAGACCGATTTGCCAGCGCGAATGGCCTTGCAGCACCAATAGCCCTCTATGTATTTCGGCCAGATTATTGGTCGCGTTCATCGATTCACACTGCGCTGTCGGTCGTGCTGCTGCAACTGCTCAGGCATCGGCAGACGGCGCTCGGCCAGGGGTTCTCCGACCATCGGGAGGGATTAATGGCGGCCGTTCACAGATTCGCGGCCGCCCAAACATCCGAGGACGAGAACGATGAAGACGACGGTAAGATCGACGCGCTGAGAGACCTTGCTGTACGGGTGGTGAGTCTGTATGATGATAACACAACCGTGTACATTGTGCTAGACAGGGTGGACATGTGTCGAGATCGAGACCATTATGAGCTCATTCGCATTCTTTCCACGGTCATACAAAAGGCACGATGCACTATCAAAGTGCTCGCCGTGGCAGATCCAGCAGGTTGGAAGGTAAATGCGAAGAGTATGGCTTTGCCAAACGCATCGCAGGTGAGGGTGTTGGAGCTGAGACAGAGAATGCGGTATGATTGGGATTATTGATATCAGAAAAGCCTGCTGACCGTTAGCATGGAGCGAACAGCATACCGAGATAGAGGTCATTATAGCAAGCTGGAGAAAGTGGAACGAAACGCCAGAGGTACACATGTAGGTAGGTAGAGACAACGATGGAGATGATTGTTGGAAGTGGTTTTTGTATAGATGGAGTAGAAACCGCATCGCGCGAGCCTCCCACGTGACTTGCCCATCCTCGCCAAGAAAGCACTTTACGCGCGACGCGTGAAGACGCGTTTTCGTGTTCCAGGGGCCGGGACTACAGAGTACAATCCTGAGCGAGGGGTGAACTTTGCTCACAGTCAACCAACTCGGCCAAACTCCTTACGATCCCAATCACTGTCACATCGTACAGTCGCAGCAATGGCGGCTTTGGTCGACTCGATCCTCAACTCAGATGCTTTTGGCGCCGCTCCCTCCTCACCACGACGCAGTGGACACGAGATCCCTTCGTCCTCTCGTGGGCGACCGGTACCCTCCGAAAGCAATGGGATACCCTCTGAAGCCGATATCTTTCCAGACGACGAGATTGTGGGAGTAGCCCCTGGACGAAACCAGAATCCGCTGGATCGAAACGTGTCGCAAGTGGTAGACCGTGCAGGAGAAAGAGTCCAGCAGGCCTTTGAAGATTTCCTCGAGTCACATACCGAAGAGCCATCCTCGTCTGCGTTACCACCGTCCAGCGAATTGAAAACAGACAAATACTACATCAACCAGATCCATGGACTGCGGGAATTCCAGCTGTCCACACTCTATGTCGACTACCGACACCTCCTGTCATACAAGGAGGGCCCGATCCTGGCAGATGCGATTGCAAGCCAGTACTATCGGTTCCTCCCGTTTCTGACGAAAGCCCTGCATCATCTTCTGGCCAAGTATGAACCGGTATACTTCAAAGACCATCGTCAAATGACCAGCAATGCATCTCAAGCGGGGACTTCAATGACCGGAAACGCAACCAGCGAGGCGAGCAGCCAGGGAGAGAAAACCATCAATCAACAAACCGACAAGATGTTCACCTTGGCCTTTTACAATTTGCCCGTTGTATCTCGAATACGACAGCTACGGACAGACCAGATCGGTAAACTACTCTCCGTCTCCGGCACCGTCACAAGAACATCTGAAGTCCGTCCCGAGCTGGCTCTAGGGACATTCATTTGCGAGGCTTGCAACACCTCTGTCCCCAACGTCGAACAGACATTCAAGTACACAGAACCCACAGTATGCCCTAACTTGGTCTGTGGGAACAAGACCGCGTGGAGACTGGATATCCGGAACAGCACCTTCGTGGACTGGCAACGGTGTCGGATCCAGGAGAACAGTTCGGAGATTCCAACCGGGAGTATGCCGCGGACAATGGATGTCATCCTTCGAGGAGAGCAGGTCGAGCGCACCAAGCCTGGCGAAAAGTGTATCTTCACCGGTACTTTGATTGTCGTACCCGATGTTTCCCAGCTGGGGATTCCCGGCGTGCGCCCAGAAGCATCCAAGGACAACAGGAATTTCCGTGGCGCAGACGTTGGTGGCGCCGGTGTAACCGGCTTAAAATCTCTGGGGGTGCGAGATCTGACTTATCGCATGGCATTCCTCGCATGCTTTTCCTGCCCCGACACAACGACTCCCGGCCAGCCAGCAAACCAACTGAACGGCCAATCAACAAATATCCTCAACTCACTGCACCAGACTGACCTGTTCGACCAGTACGATAGCGGCGAACGAGCCCAAGAGGCCTATCTGGAGACGTTGACACATGCTGAGATCGAGGACCTGAAATACATGGTCCATTCCGACAGGATCTACAGCCGACTGGTCCAGAGTCTTGCTCCGACCGTGTACGGCCACGAGATCGTCAAGAAAGGTCTCTTGCTACAACTTCTTGGAGGCGTCTCGAAAATGACGCCAGAAGGCATGCCCCTGCGAGGCGACATCAACATCTGCATCGTCGGTGATCCGTCGACCTCCAAATCCCAGTTCTTGAAATACATTGCCTCGTTCCTGCCTCGCGCAGTCTACACTTCTGGCAAGGCTTCCAGCGCTGCAGGTCTGACGGCCGCCGTGGTGAAGGACGAGGAGACAGGAGAACACACGATCGAAGCCGGTGCACTCATGTTGTCCGATTCCGGCACATGCTGCATTGACGAGTTCGACAAGATGGACATCAGTGACCAAGTGGCCATCCACGAAGCCATGGAACAGCAGACCATCTCGATCGCCAAAGCCGGAATTCACGCAACACTGAACGCACGCACGAGCATCCTCGCAGCGGCAAATCCTATTGGAGGCAGATACAACCGCAAGACCACGCTGCGAGCCAATATCAACATGTCAGCCCCCATCATGTCTCGATTCGACTTATTCTTTGTGATTCTCGACGAATGCAACGAGAGCATCGACCGCCATCTGGCGGACCACATCGTCAACCTCCATATGTTCAAGGACGAGTTTGTGCAGCCCGAATTCTCGACCGAACAATTACAACGTTATATCCGCTTTGCGCGAACCTTCAAGCCGGTATTCACGCCTCCAGCCAAAGCCCTGCTTGTCGAGAAATACAAGGAACTCCGCTCCAACGATGCAGGCGGCCTGGGAAAGAACAGTTACCGCATCACCGTGCGACAGTTGGAGTCTCTAATCCGGCTGAGTGAAGCAATCGCCAAAGCCAATTGTGTCGAAGACATCACGGAACCGATGGTGCTCGAAGCGTTCTCGCTGCTGCGCCAATCAATCATCACCGTGGAAAAGGACGATGTCGAAGTCGATGACGAAGATGAACCAGACAACACCGGCGAACCGTCACAGTCACACCAGGACGGCGACAGTCCCATGGCTGAAGACGTTGCAGAAGAAGCAGAAGCAGATGGCGGTAATTCCCACGGAACCCCTGCACCAACACGGGCTCCCACAAAAATTACGTTCGAAAAATACCACCAGATCCAGAACATGCTCGCCTCGCGGATCCGTGACTTGGAGGACCAGACCGGCGAAGGACCGGAGCATGACGAGCTGCTTCTCTGGTACCTCGAGCAGATCGAGGACACCATCAACAATGAAGAGGAACTCAATGCCGAGAGGTCGCTGGCCAAGAAGGTGCTTAAGAGAATGATTAGGGTATGTATATCAGCCTCCTCCTTCTCACTCCTTCTGTCGCACCTTGGGTCTTTACTTTAACGACGTCAGGCATATCCCATCAAATTAACCATCCATTTGTGTTTCTTTGCGCCCAAGCGAACCGAATGCTGACTGAGATTCCACAGGACAATGTCATCATTTCCATCCGTGGCGAAGGGCTTGTCGGCGAAGACGATGATGACCAGGCCACAGCTGCAACGGGCCAACGACTGACTTACGCGTTGCATCCCAACTGCGGTATCTTTGATGAGGACTGAGTGTACCCTGCTCTGCTGAGAACCATTGTACGACCTGTTAATATGTTGATGTTGGCTCTACGCCATTTTGGCTGGTTAAGGATTACAAAGCTGTCGGGTGAGCGCTCATTTGGCTCTCTGTTACAGGCATAGGGTGGCCGGTCGCGGCGTCAAGGCGGAGTTTTGATACGCAGCGCTGTGTGCATAACTGTTACAGTTTTCGGGATTCCTGCTACAAGACGTTGTGATGCTGGAAGGGTGAGGAAGTGGACCTGGCAAGATTCCACAAACAGACACTAAATTTTGCTTTCTGTCTCCATCTGCAATTGTCGATGAGTTACCGCTAGACTGACGTTGTTCGGGAATGCGAATGATGCAAATAGTGTCCCGACACATGTGATGAGTATCTCCTGTTCAGACTGGGACACCACGATTGTGTCCATACAGTCCAACCTTGGCCAGGCTCACATCAGCGGCGCCTCTGCTCTCGCCCTCTTCGTTTCCCTTCAACCTCCAACCATATCGCTCCCCAAAATGTCCTAGTTGTACAAGAAAATACAAGGGTCAATTGGACACAATTGGATGTTCGCCGTCCCGAGTAGTAGAGCGAATCGCATCAGCAGGGGTCATGTTGTCTGGTCGTTGTCGGCGTGGGGAGGAATCATACTAGATCCCTTGCGTGGGCGTCCAATGTCTCAGAGAGGAGCAGCGGAACCGTGATGGTCGAACCTGCCTTTGTGAAGCTTGAACATTCTAGGAGGCCTCCTCCTTCTCTGCAAAGAACGTGCGCCGATATGTTGACAGTGCAGCCGCCACTTCCTCGAAGTCTTTGACGTCCCGAGACTTCAAATCTGCAATCACCTGCTTCAAACCGACGATGAACTGATCCCGCAGCACTTTGTCTTTGATGTCGGCGGCTGAACTCATCTGCACAAGAATCTTCTCGTCTGTGAAAGACCAGAGGGCAGTACGTTAGTATCAGAGGCAAAATCTGCCAAACGAGAATGAATCGGTGAAGCAGGAAGGCAATATTATTCGGCCAACATACCAGAAAGTCCAAGCTGGCTAAAGTGCTGTTCTTCACACTTCGAATCTCTGCAAGGCTCGCCAGAGAGTTCGGTCGGACATAGAGGACGTGATGGGTCAATCTGGTTGCTGTAAGTCAACGACCGAAACCCTGTCTTGACAGTCTCGTTGTAGGCCGGGTGGAAACGATATGTCTTGAATGCACTAAGAGGCGTCTTATACGGGACAAAATGAGTTTTTGGGGGCGGATTGATGTCAAGAATGGGTGAGGATTCTTGTGAATCATCAGCAGGCGCATCTTGCGTCAAGTTGGTCAGGCGGTTTGCCTCTGTCAGCTGAGGACCAGACTCGGCGTCATCGACCTTGGTCTCCGGTGAGACCGCCGACACGACTTCGCCTTCTTCAACGGGCTCATCTGCTATGTCGTCGGATCGGCCAGGCTGGGTTTCGGGTAGATGTTCGGCGGGCTTGTAGGCGTCGGGCTCGTAGACATCCATATTTTCGTCGTCGACTCCGGTTGTCGGTGTCAAGTCCTCCACAGGAGCTTCTTCAGGGTCGTATTCTTCAGAATCTTCGTCGGATTGCTGCATGGGTTGACTGGTATCAATATCAGCAGGCTCGTAGTCTCCTTCATCCTCCATATCCTCGGAACCACTATCAGACATGCTGACACTCCCCTCACTATCATTATCCACGTCCATTGATCGGTCGTTGCATGGTTGTCGAGAGTCAAAAGCAGGCGGCATAGTTTGGTGGATCTCGGGTACGTATTCTGGCTCAGGTGAAATTTCCATTGCATCTGTTTGCAGAGCATCAACACCTGTGGTCGCCTCGAAGGATTCCTCGGAGTCCGGCTCCTCTTGCTGTAGAGCATCAGAGGTAAATGAGGATTCTGGCCGAGCATCAGAGGCATGTCCGTTCGCGGAAGCGGCGTCGTTGGCAGGCTCAGGGACATCAGAGTCTTCGAAAGTCGCGTGAGGGGGCATTCGGCCACTTGAAAGGTCCGAGCGAGCTCTTGACTCGTCATGCGCCATTCCCACGGCAGCTGCAGCAGGTGGAGACGGACCGTCTGGGTTCTTCTTCGGGTCTGACCGAGGAAGAGGTTCAGACGCCTCCGAAGGAGCTTCCTGGGCTTCCGCAAGTTTTTCGAGTTTGATTTGCTGGAGCTCATCAGAATACTGTCTTTGGCCAGAACGACCCTCCTGAAGCTGCTTTTCAAGCTCGGCAATCTCTTCTGATAGCTCATTCACTCTCCTTGTTGATTTCTCCAAGGCTGTGCGATAGCTGTCTACCTCTGTCTGAGCACGGGCAAGATCGCTACGTGCTCTCTCGAGACGGTCTTCAGTCTTCTGCACTTCTGCATTGAGGTCAGGCAAGCCCTCTTGTAGAACTTGCTGTCGTTGTGCCCGCTGTCTTAACAGATCGGCTTTCAAGACTGCCGCTCGTTCTGCTAGTTGTGCAGGAGTCAACTTAGAGATTGGCCGGGTCGATGGAGGCTGTTTCTGGACAGACTCTGAGGAAGCACTAGCACCAGCTGGGATGGAGGGCTGTGGAGCTGGAGGGCTGCTCAAATGTTGTCCATCACGACCAGTTGCTGGGGTTGACGGGTTCGACGATATCGCGGAGTCCATTTGACTTTTGCTTCGCTTCAGTCTGTTGCGCTGTTCCAGTTCAGCTATCTTCCGGCGCATTGCTTCAATTTCCGACTGTTTGGCACGGTACAGCCGTCCACCTCCACCCTCGCTAGCGGGACTGGCTGACCCTTGCTGCAAAGCTGTTAATGAAGGAAGAGACATCTCTGGCTTCGGAAGCATGGCCAGTCCCGAGTCATCCCCCTCTGTAAAGCCTTGTGGTGCTGCTCCTGGCGCTGTCTCCATCATGTCAGCTCCATTGTCCTCGACGATCTCTCCTTCAGATTGACTGTCTTCTTCAGCATCTCCGGCAGCAGCTGTTGCTTGTGTGTACTCTCCCATGTTTAATTTCTTTGTCTGAGGCTGCAGACCCGAGTCGCCGGCTTCCAAAGTCAAAGGGCGTTTCTGGGTCACCGTGGGAGAGGGCGAGCCGTCTGGCTCCACCACCGCAGCCGCAATATGAGGATTATATTCATTGTCCGCTATGCCCCCCATCTCAGTATCGTTGCCAGAGGTAAGTACTGCTGATTGTTTTGTAGTCTCCTCTACGGCGAAACTTCCGCTGGAAGTCATGAACAAACCGGGTATCATAAAGCTCGATTGTGCGGACGAGCCTTGGTATTCGAGAACCGTTTCCCGCGGTGCAGACGTAGTGGATTCGGGTTGAGAGCTCCTGTTCTCCGGATCTGTGATGGTCTTTCCGTCGGTAGTCGTGATGGCTGCTGAACTGCCATCCCGCGTTGGCATTGCTGCTTTCGACTGTGCCTCGCGTCTCAACTGCTCCATTCGTTGTTTCACCACCTCTGTCTGTGCTCGGGCTTTAGGCAAGCTCGGGGCCTCCTGGAGTGCAGGTAAAGTGCTGAAAGCCACAGAGTCCGCTGGTTGAACAGGTTTCGCGACTGAAATGGACGTCGAGGGCTCATCATTGGCTGAAGCAACGGTACTTGGAGTAGCAGGAGAAGGACGTCCTGTTTTCGCTGCCAGTAACTGAGCAATGCGGTCCTTACGTTCCAGATTGGGACTCGAGGCTGGCTGGGAAGTCTGAACATCCGGTAATTTTGACAAGGGCGGCCCTTCGTTCTGTTGTAGACCGCTCGGCCGGAGGCTTGTGGTGGAGGCCTGCGATTGCGGCTCCTGAGATTTGACCTGTGCTTCTTGGGCATCGGTGTCCAATGGATTTATGCCAGGTTGCTGCGATGTAGGCGGAACGTCCGTGGTAGTTGCTGAGGCCGGTTGATTGTGCAGCTCTGGCGCCCATTTTGTATCATCCGGCTCAACCTTAATACCAAGTTCTCCATATAGACCTCGTAACAACTGTGGGTGCACGCCTTCCTTAACTAGATCCCTGTAGAAAATATTGTGGGGGACAAGAGATAACAGAGCTCCTTTCGCAAGTTGCCTAAGCTCAGCTGGCGACTTGTTGTCATACGTCCTTACAATCGGTCTGGGGACTACCGCTTGAGAGGTCGAAGCGGATGCGCTGAAGCGGCCGGTCGCCCGGTCCTGGATCGTAGCGGGACGAGACGGGTCATATGCTGATCAATGAGTTAGCCGGATCTGAGGCAGCAGGCTCTCCCACACCTACGCGATACAGCCCCATCGTTCGCCGAGGATTCGACAGTGGAAGGGGCGTTTCCCATTCTCCAGCCACTTGCTGAATGCTCGGCCTGCCCCTGTGCAGTAGCAAAGAGTAGGTCAAGGTCGGACTTTGAGCCGAAGGATGGAAGATCCGTATCTTCGATATAGTTAGACAGGATGACGAGTCAGGCTGCGAGCACGTACCAAGGTCGTTGTCCCCAGCTCTTGTGGAATGTCCAACGTGGGAGACTCCCTTCTGGGTCACGCTTGGTGCACCATATGCCTGCGGTCTGTGACGGGGTTCCCGGCTCTCACTTTGACTATGTTGTGTGCCTCCGAAAGGATCTGATAAGTACTGTTGCACTGGTTCATTTGGTCCGTACCTCGGGCCATCCAATTGATTTCCGGGTGTGCTATGATGAGCGTAAGGTGTTGGAGCTGAGCTGCTCATCGAAGGGGCAAACTGTGGATACCCAGTCGTGGGGATAGGCACGGGAGGAAACGATAAAGGAGGCGGAGGCGGTAGGCCTGCGCTTGCGAACTGTTTGAAGAGATCCGGGTTGAAGGCGGCAGGAGGAGGAGGGAATGGAGGAAAGGGAGGCGCAGGAGGTCGGATCTGGGAGTTTGCGTCGAATCTAGGCGCATTGTTTGAGGGACTTGGCTGGTAGGAGCCAGGTGGGTGTGGAGGTTGTTGCGGTAAGCCTGGCGGAGTGTGTATCTGCTGCTGCAGTGCGTTAGGTGGAAAGGGAGGGTAATATGGTCGTTGCGGTGTGTATGATGTTGTGCCCCCATACACCGGGGTCGAAGCGAATGGATGCGCCATTCGAGACGAGATGCGCAGGGCACTGTACCGCGACAGAGATGGGTTTGATTATCACTGGAAGACTTTGGCAAGCCCACAAAAGCGTACTGGTTCAAGAGAGCCCGAGAGAGACATCATAAAGTGGCTCGCAGGTCCAGATATGCACAAAGCTTTGAGAAAGAAGAGTCTTACTGCTGGCTCACGTCCACGTTCGATCGCAAGAAGAGGCGGGAGGAGTTGTCGTAAGCTACCTTCACAAAACAGTCATTGGCAGTCCGCGATAGAATGATGATGTACAGCTGGCAGAAGTAGACGCGTCGGTATATACCTGGTAGATTGGCGGGCTTTGCAAGATACACGCAGACAACTTTTTCTGCCAGATGAGTTGCAGTCCTTTTACGAAACTGATTCACAGCCCACGCCTTCATTTAAATCAACGGCGGACCAGAGAAGCTAGAGAGACATTTTAACACAATACGGTGGGTGATAAGATGCCGGGATGTCATCACATCACTGAACATCACGTGATTGTGGTTGCCGGGCAGCGCATCTAGTCCATCAACAAATACTCGTCCGGACGTGTGTGTCGTCCAATGTCCATGACGGTTGGTCTGCAGCAATCAACAAGCTACAGCCATCGCGCACTGATCCCACCAGATTGTGAAAGGCACAGACACTCTTAGAGTGCCTTGAGTGCGTAAGTGCGTGGTGTCATGTTTTGACAGTATCTATCGTAAGAAACAGGCAGGAATCATCATCGTCGCGGCGATATGCTGCTCCACGAGCGCAGTCCCGACACCTCACCGTTCAACGGTCCTGCTCAACGGCATCACCCCTTCAATACCTCATACAACTCCAACATGTCTATGGCGGCGTCGCCAATGTCAGCCGCGGGCTTCTCAAAGTCCTTGCTGTTTGCATCACCGACTCCTACATCCTCATCACGACACGAGCGCCAACAATCCTACTCCCCTTCTACGTCTCTCACCTCCATCCCATCGCACGTCCGTACCCATTCTCTTCAACGACAGGCAAGCACCTCCAGCACCTTCGCCCCTAAGTTCATCAAATCAGAAGAGCTGCGGAGGAGCGAGGACAAGATCTCCGCCATCGAGGGTGAGAATGACTTTTCGGGCAAGCGATATGTGTGGGTGAAGGATCCAGAGAAAGCCTTTATCCGAGGATGGATCACGGAAGATCTTCCGAGCGATAAGGTCCTCGTTCAATTCGAGTCGGGCGCAAAGGTCGAGGTTGACGTCGAGGAGGTCGATAAGGTCAACCCAGCGAAATTCGACAAAGCCGATGACATGGCAGAACTTACCCATCTCAATGAAGCTTCAGTCATCCACAACCTTCACACGCGGTACCAGTCCGATCTCATATACACCTATTCTGGACTTTTCCTGGTGACCATCAATCCTTATTGTCCGTTGCCTATTTACGGGAATGACTATGTCCGGATGTACAAGGGTCAAGCTCGCGAAGACACTCGACCTCACATTTTTGCTGTTTCGGATGCAGCTTTCCGCCGCTTGGTTGAGGAGGGGGAGAACCAAAGTATCCTGGTAACTGGAGAGTCCGGTGCAGGCAAGACTGAGAATACGAAGAAGGTCATTCAATACCTTGCAGCCGTTGCGACCTCTGACTTTGATACACCCTTGACGGGCAGGACGCCAGGTAAACAGCTTTCGAATCTATCCCAGCAGATCCTGAGGGCAAATCCGATTCTCGAATCATTCGGTAATGCGCAGACCGTCCGGAATAACAATTCGTCAAGATTCGGCAGGTTTATTCGCATCCAGTTTACTCGATCAGGCCAGATTGCAGGCGCATTCATCGATTGGTACCTCCTTGAAAAGTCCAGGGTGGTCAAACTTAGCTCGCAAGAACGAAGTTACCATATTTTCTATCAACTGCTTGCCGGAGCTGATCAGCGGATGAGAGATGCTCTCCTAATCTCAGGCATGGATATCGAGGATTTTGCATATATAAGAGCGGGCAATGACACGATCGGTGGGGTGTCAGACCGCGACGACTGGAACACACTGATCGAAGCCTTTCATATCATGAACTTTTCCGAGAAGGAGCAGATGGCCATCTTCAAGACGATCGCCGCAATCTTACACCTTGGGAACGTCTCCGTGCGACAAGAAAGCAGAGCGGCGGATCAGGCTTCATTGACCCTGGAAGCTCGAGCATCCATGGACAAAGCTTGTCGATTGATGGGTGTCCAAACGGAGCCTTTCATCAAAGGTCTGCTCCATCCTAAGGTAAAGGCTGGCCGAGAATGGGTGGAGAAGGTCCAGACCCCTGAACAAGTACGTCTCGCGCTAGATGCCTTGGCCAAAGGTGTCTACGAACGTGGTTTCGGAGATTTGGTATCGAAAATCAACACCCAACTAGACCGAAGCGGCGTCAGCAGCGATGACAGTCACTTTATCGGAGTGCTCGACATTGCCGGATTCGAAATCTTCGAGAACAACAGCTTTGAGCAGCTCTGCATCAACTACACCAATGAAAAGTTGCAACAGTTCTTCAATCACTACATGTTTGTCCTAGAACAGGAAGAATACGCCCGTGAGCAGATCGAGTGGCAGTTCATTGATTTCGGGAAGGATCTTCAGCCGACAATCGACCTCATAGAGCTTCCCAACCCCATTGGCATATTCTCCTGCCTGGACGAGGACTCGGTGATGCCCAAAGCCACGGACAAGTCATTCACAGACAAACTGCATTCATTGTGGGAGAAGAAAACACCCAAGTATGCACCAGCTCGTACTCGACAGGGCTTTATCTTGACGCACTATGCGGCAGAGGTCGAATACTCTACAGAAGGATGGCTTGAAAAGAACAAAGATCCCCTGAATGACAACCTCACCCGACTTCTAGCAGGCTCAAAAGATGAGCACATTGCGACTCTTTTCGGAGACTGTGTGGATGAGATTGATGAACCGTACAGCCCTCGAAGCCGCGTCAAGAAAGGCCTTTTCCGCACTGTCGCTCAGAGACACAAAGAGCAGCTGAGCAGTCTAATGCGGCAGCTACATTCCACGCAACCGCATTTCGTTCGCTGTATCCTCCCGAATCACAAGAAGAAGCCGAAACAGTTCAATGCCCCGCTGGTACTCGATCAACTGCGATGCAACGGTGTGCTGGAAGGCATTAGAATAGCACGTACTGGCTTCCCTAACCGATTGACATTTGCAGAGTTCCGGTCAAGATACGAAGTTCTGTGCGAAAACATGCCCAAAGGGTATCTTGGTGGCCAAGAGGCCGCAACAATCATGCTGAGCTGCTTGAAGATGGATGCTTCCAACTATCGCGTCGGCTTGACAAAGGTGTTTTTCAGAGCGGGCGTGCTTGCAGACCTGGAAGAGCAACGTGATAGCCTCATTCGGGATATCATGTCCAGGTTTCAGTCTATCGCTCGTGGCTTCATGCAGCGCCGCGTGGCTTTCAAGCAGCTTTATCGTGCGGAAGCTACAAGGGTCATCCAGCGGAATCTCAATGTGTACCTGGACCTGCAAGCAAACCCATGGTGGCGCTTGTTCGTCCGCATGAAGCCATTGCTTGGAGCGACTAGGACCGCAAGTGAGGTCAAGAAAAGAGATGAGAAGATTGAGCAATTGAACAACAAGATGAGACAAGAAGCAGCTGAAAAGCACCGCATCGATGACGAGCGAAGACGCGCCGAAATCGAAGTTCAACGAATCCAGCAGACCCTTGAGGCTGAGCGGGCGTTGGCGCTCGACAAGGAGGAGATTTTCAAGAGGCTACAATACCGTGAGAGTGAGCTTACGGAAAAGCTGTCCGAAGCTCTGGCCGAACAAGAAGCTCTTGAGGATCAGTTGGATGAAGCTATGAACTCCAAGAAGAGGACTGAAGAAGAACTGGCCACTAGAAGAGAGCAAGTTCTCCAGGCGGGCCAGATCATAACTCGACTCGAGGCGGAGAAGAAAGAGTTACAGCGGCAACTAGATAAAGCGGAAGACGAGCTGGAGAACGTGGAGCGAACACACTCCCAGAATGATGACAGGTTGGAGAACATCAGTCAGGAACTCAGCACTCTAAAGAGTCAGCTGGGCACGAAAGATCGCAAGATAGCTGAAGTTGAAGCAAGTCTGCAACAAGCGGAAAGAGAAAAGACCAATAAGGCGACAAGCCTTGAACAAGAGCTTCGAGCATTGAAAAGTCAGCTATCACAGAAAGACCGGGTGATGGAGGATCTCGAACAGAAGCTGCAGAAGGCCGAGTCTCTGCGTGCTGAAGAGAGCAAGCGCCGCAGCGAGGATTTTGACTCCCAGATGCGAGCCCTCAAGAGTGAGCTCGGCGGAAAGGAACGCAAGTTGTACGACCTGGAAAACGCTCTATCGAAGATGGACAAGGATGCAGAAAGCAAGTTGGCAACCGCCACCATCGAGCTCACCACTACCAAGAAACTGCTGCGAGAGGTCCAGGGCCAAAATGAGGAGCTCCGCAAGCAGATCACATCCATGTCTTCAGCGTCTGCGAAACATGAAGAGCAGCTTCGCCGGAAAGAAGGGGAGATGGCTGCGCTCATGGCGGATATTGAGCGATTCGAGAGGGAGAAGTTGGGTCTGCGCGAGGAGAACAATACTCTTTCCGGACGACACGAAAGCATGCAGGCCAAACATAGGGAGTTGCAGGAAGACCTGCAGAGCCTGAGGGCACAGCGAGCCAAGATGGAGCGAGAAGCGGCAGAGGTGAAGCGTTGCCTAGAAAAGGTCATGCCCTTCTTCACGCAGAATTTCTCCTGAGAATCAAACAACCCTATGCCACAACCTTGGGTGTTTGGCGTTGTACACAGACAGTAATGAGGAAAGCCATGTGCAAGTGCAGATGACGGAACAGGTGATGCATGTCGCTGTTTGACGCCACCAAAGTCAGGGCGGGTTCTTTGCCCTGTCTGCGAAGGAGAGAAAGGTATGGATTTGGGGCGTATCGCAGTGAGTGCTACACCGTCGACTTGTGGTGTCTCTTTTTGGCGAAGGGGGTGTTTGCCTTGGGTTGAATGTCCACTCGGAGTTGTGTGCGTTTAGGAAGGCGGAGTTTGGAGCGTCAGCATTGTCAAGACATGTTCAGCCTACCTGGCATATTAGTTATGTACATAAATGACATCAAGTCTGCGAATGTTAGCAGCATAACGCAGAGCGTGTGGAGTATTGAAAGATTTTGTCTACCCGAGGTTTTGTGCTCAGATATGGAATAAGCAGCAGAAGGAGAACACTTCAGGTTCATATACATAAAGCATCTGATCAACTGGAGACAGTCATCAGTCAGTGCAGTGTCCTCTGAGCTCAGGGGTCGGTGACGAGGCTGCGCAAGGCTGAAAAGCGGAGACCGGCAATTCCCAATAGGAAACTCATCCGAAGTCAGTCCAACGCACTGCAGGTCGAAGAGAAGAACTAACTGCAGTGCTCCCTCCTTCTTGATGGCTGAGTATATAACTCACTGTCTCTCTGTTTATCGTCGCACCGCGCGCCGGTATCGCCACTGATCGCTGCTCTTTCTTGGCCTTTGCCCAGCTCTCCCAAAGCGTCGGTCAGTAATCACCTGGGTCAACCTTCGACGACTCTATCGACCAATCCAACCGGCCAAAATGCCCTCCTCATGCAAAGACATCCGTAAGTCACGCTCCAATGCCCTTTCTCCTCCTTTCGACAAGCAAGCACGGCATTTGTCTCTTCTGTCCCTTTCACACCCCTGAGGACCGAGCTAATGTTATCCCAAACCAGGAGCCGCGCTAGCAGCCTGCCTCCAAAATTCTGACTGTATCATGATCGACCGCCACACTCCGCTCGAATGCCTATCGCCTCCGCTCGTCGACACGCTCCCGGAACAATGTCAACAACTGAAGCGCGGGTTCCGCGACTGTAAGCGAGGAATGATCGATATGAGGAAACGGTTTCGTGGCAACGCGCCCATCTCGACAAGTGTGGAGCTCGAGGGCTCCGGAAAGAGAGCTGGCCAGCTGTACGGCGGGAAGCCGGCGTTCGATGTCGTGGAAGGTATGAAAAAGGAGCAGAGGGGCGAGGTGGAAGGACTGGGGTTCGACGAGAGCAAGACGAGGGGGTTATGAGCTGCGAAATGGACCCTTCCTCGGGGGCAGAAAATGCATACTCCTACGGCACACGGCACGCTCCGGCACTCGACATGAACATGGCCACTAGTGTCAAGGATACATCTTGACAAGTATTCGAGTCGGCAAGCCCTGGTCCACAATGCCGACAACTGCCAGCACCTTGTCAAATCTCAAACACAGCAATGGGGCCAAGCAGGAGCTTCCTGGATCATGAGCTTGTGCGGCGGCTTAGGGGACCTCTTGGTCACCACTTCCAGAGAGAGGCTGGGCTTGTTCAATGCAAACAGACGACACCAACCGAACACCAAAGCATTGGTCAAAGCTATACCGGCTTGGCCAAAGATACGCTTGCGCCCATGAAAGATTGTTGGCAAGCGAACGGATGTTCTGCATCTTCGGGTAAGTGTCGTGTCGGTGCTGAGATCGAATTGTGATTCTTCCACCACATGGGGCCCTGCACATCGGTGCATACATCTCCTAGAGACAATGGGCTCCGGAGTCTGTTGGAGACTGTTGGATGACGCCGCGGGGAGACTGTGGCGTGTCTATCTTTGAAAGACCGCAGTGTATATATATTCTCCACTCTATTGAAACAGTGTATGACAGCCTCGTAACAGAATGCGCGGGAATCAAATAAGAGGACAGCAGCAACTAGGCCTGATTGAAAATCGAAGACTGCATAGAATTTTTTCTATCCCTCATTTTAGTCATCCCAAATGCAAGATGTATCCGTCTGACTCGGAACCCATAGATTTACACTTTTCCATCAATCCTCGAAGCGATCTGGAACCGCAGCAACTAATTCTTTTAATCAAGACGTGCTCACGCTCAGCGCCCGCCGCCTCTCAATCTCCTCCTTCGGCGGCTCACTGTAGAGCCACAAAAGAACGAACAGCAAAAATCCAACAATGACGCTCCACAATCCACCGACCCAAGGCCAGGCACCGGTGATTGCCCACGAGCGCGGCCACTCGTCATGCGCAAAATGCCGGACGGTGACCTGGTGTCGCTCCTCGATCGGCGTCAAGAACGGTCGCTTGTAGTTGACCTTGAAGGCGAAAATGCCGTGTTGGTCCGGCGTGGTGAAGGTCGTGCTGTAGATGGTGCTGTTGTCGGTCGTAGTGGACGGGGTGAGTGGGAGTCGGTGGAATGGCGAGAGCATTGTGAACTCGAGCTGGAGCGCATCTGTGTCGGGGACGACGAACGGAACGTAGTGCGTGCGATCATACTGGCCAATTTCGATGGAGAATTTCTTGTACCATCGTTAGCAAAACATGTGGTAAACAAATGAGTAGTAACAAAAGGAACAGCATACCACATCGTTTTTGATCCGATACATTTCGGGGTTGTATTCCCAAATCTGCGTGGTGTTCTGGGAAGGCTCGCTCGCCGTGGTGATCTGGTAGTGCTGGACCGAGAAGACCTTGAGCACACCGACTTCTTGGAACGTCCATTCCGTCAACTGTTTCACGAATTCTTGGTTGACGGTCTTGCTGGTCTTGCCGCCCGGCAACTGCACAGTTGCGCCGAACCATTTGTCCTGCAGCATTTCCAATGACCCGAGAACGGTGAACCGAGCGGAATTGCGAGCCTGCATTGCAGAGACGATATTCAGCTGGGATCCAGTTGCGAACGGCTCCTCGACGCTCTGCGCCTCCTCCCCGGGGTTGTATGCATATGCCGTCATGGGCGCTTTGAGAATGGGTGCAATTAGCGGGATCGCGGGCCCCAGTGTCTGCCCTACCGCTCTCGGTACAGCCAATGTGCCCTCGCCCCCAAAGAAATTGACCACGTCTGGCCGCAGCTGTCCGGGGCGCTCAACCAGCAGAACATCATGTTTTTCAGCCGCAGAGACTTTGTCATAATTGAAATGATCGACGACAATGGAATGTTTGTCGGGAGATAATGAGATATCGAATTCAAGGAGGAGGGACGAAACGGCAGAGGGAGTGCCGGACTCAGAGGAGAGGCCGAGCAGGACGTTTCCGCCTGCGTTGACATAGTCGAGGAGGATCTTGGGCGTCAGCGTCGGTCCATAGCCTAGGGAAAGTCAGTATCTGGATTCCCGGAAGCTGGAACGACAGCGCTCACCCTTGGACTTTGGCGGTGTTAGGATTAAATGTTCGTAGGCCAACTGGCCATGCCTGAACAGCGACAATTGCTCATTCCGAGGCGATTCGAAGGACAGTTTAAAATCTCGGTCTGGAATATTGAGCGGTCAGCAAGAAACAGTACCAGTTGGAGAGAAACATACCTTCCAAATCAGCCCAAAACTTTGAGTAGAGACCCTTCTGCGATTCATCCTCGAGGATGACAAGCACTCTGTCTCCGACTGCGCTTCTGCCAGATACCACGCTCAGCAAAGCAAGTAATAGCAGACATAAAGAAGAGAAGAGCCGCATCTTGTGAACCACTATCGACCAAGTCTGCAGTCCGTGCTTACAAGGGCACTCTCATTGAAATGCTGCAGCACAGTTCTACCACTGCAGTGCTTCAAGTCACATAGTACTTACTTTGGGTACTTTGTTCTCCGCAGAGGAGACGTGGTCAGTCAGTACGCGGCTCCGTAAACCTGAGCCAATGGGAGACAGGGTTGTATGTACGGTGAGCGACAGGGTCACACATGGCAGCCCCCGCCAGTCTCAGTCCAGGTGCTCTTACAAAAGGATATGTATCAGTTGAATCACGGTAGCTATAAAGACTGACGTGAGGCATGCATTCAGCTTGGCCGTGCTCAAGGTCTTTGCTGGCCCGTTACCTTCAATCGGCTATATTCTCCGTCGCCCATCTCAGCCTTGCGTATCCTTATATATACTCCGCCGTATCGCCAAGCTCGAATCATGCATGAACATCGAGCTTCACTTCCGACCGACAGTCAATGCTTGAGAGTCCCTCAGACGCCAGTGAACGACGAGCCCATAATTACATCTACGTCCGGGAGAAGGATCTCTCCCTGAGTTTCTGTGCAATCTCGCCCCAGTTGCGGCGGCACCTGCGGACCGAAACCCTTGCTCATACTCCGCCAGCATCCTCACCCTCGTACCTCCTCCTCGTGACGACTACAAGAGATCTCACCACCACCGCTCCTCCTGTGCGACGACCTGCAGACCCCCTCTCTCGACATCTCTCCTCCTCCATCAACCCACTTTTGACCCCGTCCGAAACATAAGACAATTACAATGTCCGGCGTTCCGCGGAGGTTCTGGGGTTCACCGATTCGGTACCTGCGGTGGGCGGCGCACGAGAAGCCAGCGATTTTCTGGAGCATAGTCATTGGAGGGACGGGCCCGGCATCATTTGCGTTCATTCCGCCGTTGAGGAGATACTTTGGCGATGTGGATCCTGCGAGGATTCCGTTGACTTATCCTGGTGAGTTTATTGAGTTAACTCTTGTATTCCTAAGGGGTTGGAGGGATATCATCAGACATGCAGACATCCGGGACAGCCTTGCCAATGAAAGAGGAGGATCGAGATACGGGCATCTGGCAGCTGAGAGAATGTGCTCAAGGGGAGGAATCGATAGAAAAAATGGTCCCGGTTGAGAACTTGAGAACGCTGCCTGTGCTACGGGGTTGCCGTCACGTCAAAAATAACCAAGAAGAAAGTATCATCTTGCTAACACGTCTTGTCCGTATAGTGCCCAGAGGCCCCCGGAAGATTCCTGAAGGCTTCGACGATCCAGAATAGATATGTCCAACTCAAACTGGCACAATTGCTCGACTAGCTCTCGCATTTTCCGAGCGATCACACACAAGATCTTACCCTCACGCACGAGGACGCCACTACCATGTACAAGTTCTCTGCCGTGTTGGAGCTGAAGCAAGTGAAACAAGAAGGATCGATTTTGTCGCAAGCTCTGCATTTTGTACATAGCCTATGCGTTTTCTCTATTGATAACAAAATGGACAACCCAGAATTCCTTTGAGCGCAAAAGCTGGCGGGCATTCCAGGCAAAGTGCATTTCACCATTCTAGCAGCGCCAGTAATGCCAAACCAGGCTACTTGAGAAGCCGTAAACGTGAATCTTCCTTCGCGTGGCTGCATTGTTCCATCGTTGCGCAAGGACTGGGCAAAGTGCGAATCCGCGATATTCATAACTCGAACAACACCCACCAATGGACATGCATCACTCATCCAGCAGTAAACGAAGCTTTGCCATTTTGAAGTCCTTTGCAAACATCAGCCGAGTCCAGCGATAAAGAGCAAAGGGGTCTGTAGGAAACGGGGCGGAGCCAACATACTGCTGTGGCTCGACAATGAGCTCAACGAGAATTCCAATGCTAGCCCGTACTGCTGCTGAGTTGTGGACAGGCTTACTCCTCTTCGCCGTCATCCTCGCCCATGACAAAGTCGCCACCCTCTGGGATGAACATGCCGGAACCGTCGTCGACATCCTCTTCATCTTCGTCATCTTCGACGACCCTAGCACGCTTTCGTGGGCGGGCGGGGATACGCTCGGAAGTAGACGCAGAAGCAGAAGCAGAAGCAGAACCTGCAGCGGCGGCGGCTTGCTTCTGCTTACGCAACTCTTGCTGGACGAAAGTGGTGTGCTCCTCATCCAATACCCCGTACATGTCGTTCAGTTCATCGTTTTTGCCCTTGGGAAGAGCAACATGCCATGGCAGCTCAGCCTTGTCGATCTTTGCACAAGTCAACCACGCAATTCCAGGGTAATCGTCGCGCTTGAGATGGGTGCGTTCGACCATGAGATCGCTGACAAAATTCATGATATCCTGCTTGAGAACGCCCATGTTGGCCTCGAGGACGTGGCAAGCCTTGATGCTCATGGGGAAATAGCGGTGGAACTCCTGGAAGTCGAGATGTGTCAAGTAAGCCTGGCCGCCGTCGGATAAGGCAGAATAGAAGTCCAAACCACCATCAGGCGCACGACGGGTGCGGTCGTCGGAGATACTCTGTGCAAACCATTGACGGAAGAAGCAGACCGCCATCCACATGTAGATGTCTCCCGAGTAGGATGGGCGACCGGGTTTGTCTGCGGCAGTGCGCAACATGAAGGCTGGATAGTGGCCGAGAATACGCAGCTCAACCGCTTCCTTGGCCCGATCGAGTTCATCAGCCTTGTGATTAAGGAATTCACGCAGATCGTCGCTGATGGTGTCCTTGACCTCGATCGGCAACACGCCCCATTGTCCGATCAAATGAATGGCGGCCTCGCTGAAGATCGTTGGGGACCGAACGCGACGGCCAAGTTCGAGCCATGCCACCGGATTTCCCATGATCGAGCTCCAAAGCACCTGATCCTGTCGTAGGAGAGCAAGATCGACAACATCGCGCACATGGTCAATTGAGCCGATGGACTCGGCGCACTCAATGAGGATGATCACATCGCCGAGTACTTTGACCAAAGTGTCGTTGACAAATGATGGTTCACGGTTGTAGAAAATCCCAAAAAGCCAATCCCAAGCCTTGTATGCATTGTCTGACACCTTTCCATTGTCGAAATCCGGCAGGAGAGACGCGCCACCTCGGGGTGTGCGACCTTGTTCATTTACTTCCTGTGTCGAAAGTCAGTCAGTGAGCCACCAGACGATCGGGAGGCAATTTCGCTTGCATACCTTCCGCACCCATTGGCCTGGCTCGCCTTTCTCAGACGAAGCCACATATTCAAAGCGGTAGGCGGCGGCGCGGTCACGACGAGCCTGGGCGTTGAGACGCGGTCCTGGTTTGGCTGCGATCGCATCTGCAAAAAAGGCAGAGTGCGTTGACAGAACCTGAGAGTGCAATTTGTATTGCTGGGTTGTTGAGACGATGAGGAGGACGTCGCCGTCAAGGAATTGAGGAAAGCCTGACTTCACAGTAGACGCCATGTTGATGAGGCCAAGATCTTCTTGCGATTGATTGATCTCGATAGGTAAAGACGCTCTTGGACAAGCACCGCGTTCAAGGTGGAAGTGTTAGGATGAGAAGAGAAAGGTTAGGAAGACGCGTCAGGATGGAAGGTTTTTGTACCTCTGTTTCACCGCAACAGATCAGTGAAGTCCAGTGTTGTGATTGTCAACATGTGACTTTGAGTCGCAATGTAAGGGCGTGCACCAACAGTGAAGAAGAGTGAGGTTGATTTGAGGACGGGGCACAACATGGGAGCAAGTCAGGCGGACTCGAATGAAGCTGGTCTGAATCGTAGCAAGACGGAACTGAAGCCAGCGCCTTTCTCAGATCATCTATGAAATTGAGTCGACCAAAGAGTAACAGGTACAGTTTCTATACTGGGGATGGGGAATACCGGGGACTCGTTTCAACCTCAGTTGAGTCAGCAGTCGTAGGAAGCCGGCTGCCGCTGATTGACGATCAAAAACACATAGAGCTTCGTCCTTGTGCGGTGAAATTGGAGGAGAGGCGAGGCGAGGGGGCATACCAAGATCATTTCGAGTGAGCTGTAACATATCAATAGTTGGATGCCGTTGGTCAGTATGCCTTCAAAGCATCAATCCTTGCTGTGGCCGTCCTTTGTGTCGGTATCGAAGTTGGCCATTTCTGGTATGCCAATAGTGGAATCTGATTTGGCCTGCGATCTGGATTGATCCGTTGTCTACGAGATTGTGCACGGCCTGAAGGTGTGAGTTTGATTCCAGGTGTATGCCGTTGGACCAGAAGACCAAAAGCCACTTGGAACAATCCAGACACTGTCGACAAGCCCGACCAGATAGACCAGTGCCAGCGATCTTGTGAGGTTACCAGGAGGTGCGAACAACAGTGATGGAAGATGCAGAGCTGAACAAAGCCTCAAAGACAGAAAGGAAATGTTAACAGGTCGTTGAATTTGTGTTGTCATGATTCCAATATGCAAAAGCCTCAGTTCATAAACAAATCCGGCGACGCCTCCAAATGCTAGGTACAGACTAAATCCAAATTGTAGGCCAATCTCACGCGGAGGTATATCAAGCTCGAAAAGGATCCATTTTGAGTCGTAGTCGCAAAACCCCGCCAGAACCTGGAAAAGAGTAACAACAAGCGGTGAGGAAGGATGAAACTCCAGTGTGTGATCGCTCAATGACATGCATAACCCAAGGATAAGGTGATCCTGTATACTCTCCAAAATCATAACAGCCATGGCCTCGTTAATGCTGATATAACAATTCAATCTCCATTAGCTTGGGTTGCAATCCATGGTGCCAATCCAGGTCAGGGAAATGCCGCTATGCAATCATCCAGAAAGGTGACGTGGTCTCAACGGCGCAATCAGCATTGTGCGCTTTGAAACAATAGACGGCGAGTGGACCAGATCAGGGAGAATCCAGGTCAACGAGGACATACGGATCCGCGGAAGGCATGATCCCTGCGAAGGTCATGGGAAAGATGGTCATCATCTGCCATGCCTACGTGAGTCAGAATATCCTGGACCATACGGCGCACCCATCACATCTCTCCGAGGATCATAAGATCCAGACAATGATGACGATATCGGAGGTCCTGTCCGGGTGGGATAGAGTGGCGGTGCATAACCTCCTGGCAGCTGCCCGGATCGGCTAATTGATGGTGCGGTTGCGCTTTCGCCAGGAAAGGTCCTGGGTTCTCTTTCGGATCCATGGAAGCCAGACTGCCCTGGAGGATATCCTGGTTGGCCTGAAGAAATGGTATACTGCGCTGGGAAGCCGGGCTCCGGGGCGTAGGTAGAGGTAACCGGGATAGCAACCCGCCCACTAGCCAGAGGGCGAGCTTCAAGCTCACGATGCCTGGGAGGTGGTCGTCCATAGTCGTCGTCGTCGATATCCATTTCTCCGGCGTACCTGTGTTGGCTCTCTTGTCGGGCTTGCATCTCGGCATAGGAACCTACAGGATCCTTAGATCGGCTTGTTTGCCTTTCGGTATTAGCCATACCTTGCGAACGGCCCTGCCTGGCCCGCCGTTCTCGCTCGCGCTGCCATTTGACCGTCTCCTGACGAAGTGACTGTTCCATTGCCTGCCATGTCCAGATCAGCATCAAAGCCACAACGTCTGTCAGAGGGTTCTAGTCATACAGTGGTGAAGGGGCGATAGGCCTTGACCCAATATCCGGAACGTCCCTATGTGCCTTAGTTAGCAGACCATACTTACCATGGACATCCACTGGTGCAGCATACTTCATTGTTCCGGGTTGGGCGGCAAGTGGCATCCTGACCAAGATATTTGCAGATTTCGTGTTGAATGACTTCTCTTTCGATGCCGTCACCTGGACAAAAGTATTCTGTATACTCGGGCCTTACGGGATCACGCTCTCTGGTAATGGGGACATCCATGGTTGTCCGGTTTCTTGAGGGGGCGTCATAGTCACGATCTTCCCGAGCATAAGGCGACCTCGCCGACGGGTTTCTCGGAACTTCCCGATAGAATTCTCCTGTGGTCGGATCACGCAGCAAGAACACCTCCGGTTCCGTGCCACGGGGGTCAACCATACGTTCAGGTCTCGGGTCAATGCGAGACGTTGTACTGGGCCGTTGATCAGGCCTGAGGTCCATACGGTTGTCCATCCTGGAGTCCATGCGGGAATCAATCCGGGTGTCCAAACGGGTGTCCATTCTGCTGTCCACGGCTTCGGTCATACGAGTATCGTGGTCGATTCGTTCGCCTGGAATTCTCCTTTCTCTTTCCCTTGGAGGCGCAACACGTTCTGGACGGTCACGCTCGCGAGTTTCTCTTCTGGGGGGATGACGAGGCTCTCCGCGGCGGTATTCTGGATCATCTTGGTACCGCGATGACATCCTGCCGGTCATGATATGGTATTTATCAGAGTCCTGGAGAGTGTAGAAGTCGATCCTTGGGTCCGTTGGGCAGCAAAGGGGCGAACGAACGAATGAGAGGAAATTTGTCTGGAGCAACGTCGCAGGATAAAGCGGGCAAGGTGCAGACGGTCGAGTCCCTTTGCAAGCGAAGGCAGGTTTCCAGGGGCTCCAGATCCACTGGTGTAAACGTCCAGGAAGTCCGAGAGACCAGATCCAATGGACTCAGGTTGGGTCGACCTGGTAGAGGAGTGAGCGCGATGATTGTTTGACGGAAGAGTAACAGTGGAAGGTGGTTGAGGGTTCTGTGAGAGATTGAGGGATCTGACAAGCTGGCGCAGGCAGCGAAACGGCTCTGCTTTGCTTTGCTTTGCTTGGGTCTTGGGCCGCACCGCGCATTCAAGCGAGAAGTGCCGCCAATCACTGGACCTTGACACCACGCTGAGGAAAGTTGAACCCTGGAAAACTCCACCCGAAAGCAGTCTTATCTACCTGGTATAGAACTCTCTCGATACCTGATTTTATAGGTGACTCCTGCGTAACCCAGCGAGACGGTGTTCCTCAACTCGTGGGCGTTGGAGGAAAGATGAGGAGAAGCGCGGAACTCTGGAATGCAATCCCACAGGTGCTCACGATCCCAGGGGCGAGTTTGGGACCCGGAACCGTCGTGCCGTTATGTGGGATGATTACAGTACGACCGACGGACGATCTGGGAGCCAAGTTGCAGGCGAGAGAAGAGTGGAATGTGCTGAGTGGAAGAGATGAGATGGCTAGCCACTGTATGTATCTAGCAGCTCGGGGAACGCGAGGCGAGCAAGAATGGATCGAAAAGCGGGAGCGAGCACAAACTCGCCCCCATGACAGATGCAAAGCACGGGCAGGGGCATGATGAGTACCAGGTACGGTAGGTAGGTACCTAGGTAGGCCGTAGTATTAGGCAGTAGTAGTAGTTGGATGACTAACCGTCCGTCCGACCACTGCTACGATGTCGGGCTGCGGTCCCTCGACCACAGTCACCGGTACTTACTACGTACCTGCCTGATAATGGAGACCGATGCCTGCCAGCCTGGCATGCTCTTTGCAGATACTAGGTAGGTAGGTACGTAGTAGTATCCCAGTGGGCGAGGACAAGAATATCTGACCACCCATTCCTACACGCAAGACCCGGCCTCAGGTTCTCGCTCATTGACTATCAGGTACTGAAATTCATGCCTGGGACCCATCTAACAGTATGCCAGGTACATCCTGCTGCCTGATGGGACCTCGTTTTCATATTTGACGGATCCCCCAAGCTGCTGCCTTCTCCAGCATATTCTATGCCTTTCCTGAGCGACTTCCATGCGGAGAAGATATACTAGTATCGCAGAAATACCCCTGCGCCCTTGAGCATCGACGAAGCAAAGAGTGTTCCGTGCAAGAGATCGCAATCCCAACAACCTTACTTGCACAAGCTATTAAAGGTACATGATCCAGGAATGATTTTGAAGAGGTGGGCGGAGTGTTCAACGACGCTGTCGGCCTTTTCTTGCGTTGGTCGATGGCTCCTCGCAACAAGAGGCAGACTCTCCAGCATTACAGGTGAATTACACAATCATGGTCCATTCAACTTGAAGGCTGGAAGACTCGGAGGCCAGGTGCAACCTCACTCCTGTTTAGCGGACTTGCGCTGGCCCAATGATGTGTCCAACGGCTAACGCTTGGGTTGCTGTCATGGACCAATCGACTTGCTTTGGGCAGCAATGAGATATGCACTGCATGCGGCGTCGAACCTCGTCCACTTACTACTCTGCACGCGACATCGACTATCACAATCACTGCGTCCTGCCTCCTCGTTGGTCACCGGTCTGTTAACTATTTTGACGGTGAGCTTCAGGACTTGGGGATCATCCCGCCTGTCAGCTCACTTTGATGGGGCAGATAATGGCCCAAAAACAGCCTAAACCTCTCACCGTTCCTTTGTATTTATAAAGGGGCGTGTAATTTAGGTATGGACTTGCGTGTTTGATTGGTGACCGTCAGCAGTTACCGACGAGTATATGACTTTCTCGACACGCAGGAGTATACTACCATGCCACGGGTCGAGTACTCCGAACGGTAATCAACCCCGGTGCTTATCCTGCTATGCCTTTCCGTGGCGATGCGGAAAGAATCAGTTGATCTTTGCGACCGGTTTTCAAGGTTTGCTGCCAATGACTTGACAGGAGAGACGTGAGGCTGCCGTTCTCTTGCCTGGCATCCTTCCATGTGTGTACCCCAGCACGACTGCGCTTTTGGACTGCCCTACTTATTATCAGACTCTTCCACCGGGTACAGGTACAGCATGTGGAGGCTGTACGCCCGCGGGTTTCCTCCGGGGCACGGCAGGCAAGAAAGATTCGCTGGACACGCTGTTACCTGCCTTGAGGTTTGGAACAGTGCGGCCTCTCGCAGCGGTTACAACCTTGAACTTCCGCGGGCACTGGCGGCCCCGATTCTGAATCCGGTTCGAGGGAAATGTAACCGCACTTCAGTGCCCTTGACCTGGGCGCTCAATACAACTTCATCGCCAGTCAACGCAATGAGCTTTCCTCTGTCTCGGTGGCGTGAACCCGAATCAGTGGGAAACACCTCCACTTCGGCGCCTTCCTGCAATCCCAGAGGGTCTGTCGGATCAAATTGTAGGTTCTCCTCTGCAAATGAGGCCTTGAGAATACGATCTGCGGCGGTGCTCCCGTCGAGGCTAGCTGCTTTTGGTGCTTGAGCTTTGGCGGCTCTGAGTGCATTGTTGAATCTCGCTATCCATGCAAACACCTTGGGATACGACTTCTCAGATATCAATTCCCGGGGCAGGGCTCCCTTGAGGCCATTCAACCAATCAAAGGTCCAGATGGCTGCAGTTCTTGCCATTAGCTGGTGTGAACCGAATCTGTACTGTACTTTCCGCTCACCTTCAATGTCTGCTAGGGTCGGCTTGTCTGTCTTGAGCACCCAATTCCGGCCATCTGCCAGCAGAGTAGATTCCAAGAACTTGAAGGCATTCCTAATGGCCGCCAGTGCCTCGGGTCTGTTGGCAGCGATTTTCTCTTTGCTCCAGGACCGGCCCGAGTAGTCTTCACGGTCGCTTGTGAACTTGGGGTCATTAAGGAGCGGCATGCTGGTAGGAATGAGTTGGGATGCCCGCACGAAGAGACCAGCTTCAACGGTCCATATTTCCAGGAACTTCTGGATGGCTTTGCCCTCTGCTGTGGTCGCACCAAGCGCCCCGTCTGGAAACATTTCTTCCAGCTTGCGGAGAATGATACGGCTGTCACAGTAAATGTCCCGCCCGATGGTCATGACAGGAATCCTCCTATAGTTCACTCCTATAGCTTTGAGGTCTGGTCGAGGCATGACGGGGGGTTGTTTCTGTGAAGGAGAGATCAGCAAAACGGCGGTGACCGCTGGCCATTCATGTCCATGGCAGATGGCTGCATCGACTCACGCATTCTGCATAGTCTATCCCTCTGAGGGCCAGATACCATGAGACCCTCCTCGCGTAGGGAGAGAAGGGGTAGTGGTACAGTATTATGCCGTTGTTTCGTCCGTCCATCCTTGTGCGGAAGATTGGCGTGTCTAGGCAGAGGCGCTGTGGTCGTCGGTGTAGACAGCCAGTTGGCTATCACTTCGGATCGGGGATAATCAACAATGTAAATTTAGGGCATGACAACACCTGCGAATTCGACAGACAACTGTGGCATGAGTATACATATATATATATAGTATCTTACTGGTGTCTATGTAGGAGACGTGGTAGTAAGGTCCTTTTATTAGAGCCTTCCATATGCCTCGGTATCCTGACGGTGCGGGGGAACAGCGCACCATAGGTACCAATACTCTACCGAAGCCCAAGTGAATTCATCACTGCACCCGCAAAACAGTACGCTGGTAGTAGTACCTACATACCTTATAGTAGTACACATTACCGTTGACTTCGTCAAGAACTGCGAGGTTCAGTCCCTCTCTATAGTAGGGCACTTGATTGTCTGTTTCGTCCTATCTGAAAGTAGAGAGGCCCCATCTACAGTAGTACGTACGGAATTCTTGGGGTTGGGGCTTGTCGAGACAAATTGTTCAAGGCCTACGCTGCCTGCGGGCGGAATGGCTATAGTCTCCCGCTCCTCCTCTGCACCCAGTATGTTGCCAGTCGCGCACCAACGCCCCTGAAGACGCCACTTCTTGTCCGATTTGACCTTTGAAGAGAGTGTCGAGTGCTTGAAGCATATCTTAGTAAGGCTGCCAGATGCGCAGAAAGAAACCGAAAAGTCGAAGAGCGAGAGAGACAGACCCGTGACATCATCTGCTCCGCTGTATGACGATGAGGTCAACGAGGACGATCGATGACTGCCTTCAGGTCTGCAGTAATAAATATCCTAAGGGATGCTACGGGATGCCCTCATCCATCTTTGACCTTGACTGATCTCACCTTGAAATCTATTGCCTCCCAGACTCGAACGACTCCGTTGAAGCCAATAAACCATCAACCATCACTACCTCGAAAATGCCTGAAGCCGGACGCAACAGTGGCGGTGACCTCTTCGATATGGCGAAGGATGGCACCACCATTCCTGCCGACGCCGCAGAGCCCAGATACATTCCATCCAAGCCGCGCCCTGATCAAATAGCTTCAGCTGCCGATCCGAACAACCTGGGCGGACGGACTCTCGCCGAAGCAGCGGACAACGCAGGTGATATTCCAAGAGTAAGTCACTCCAATGATAGTACCTACCTTGGGGTTGATATTGACCCATGACAGACCACCCGGGATACAGATGTCAACGATATCCTGACCGGAACGGGAGATTCGCTCGGCGCCAACGTTGCCTCGAAGAGACTACATGCGGTTCCAGGCGGTGTGGTTCGCGACCCCCAGGCCAAGGGCTCGACCAGGACAGATGAATACTCCAAGACGGCGTCGGATTTCGACAGGGGCGCGTCAGATGGACCTGGCGTAGACAGGGCTCCGGGCCAAGAAGGCTTGAGCGATGAGCAAGTCATGGACCAGATTGAGCGTAAGGAGGTGTAAGGAGGAAATGAAACCACAAATATAACGAAACACAACCAAAATCAAACCCTTGCATGATAATACCCGGCCATATCTTCGGATAGATAGCCTAAATGAACACATTCAATAATCTCGATATGCCATACTAGTACTACGTGGTAGCAAGTCACTCCGCCCCACCACGTATAAGGTAATGAAAGAGTCGTATGTGCCCGTGACGTTCTCATCCCTTCTGCCAGTATAGCTACCTTTATGTATCTACCTACGTAGGTACCTACTACGTACTGTCATTGCTACTGGTACTCTGCGTTCTGAAAGAGGACAGTGGTTACCGACTTCGGGATAGCCTTCCAGCAACGAAACCAGCCCGCTTCCGCTGTACACCGACACTGATAAAGATTCAAGGACAACTGATCGGTCTAGGGCGTGCCCAGAGCCTGCGGCGTGGGGCGCACAGTCCGACGGGTGAATTTATTGTTCCCACAATGCCGAGTGCCTGGACCTCAGGTACTAAGGTACTGCCTGCTCTGGCGGAAGTGGAGGGCGCGAGGGCGCGAAGTTGTCTGGTTTGCCAGCGCTCAGGACCGGACACCTCTTAAGCGTGGAGACAACAGACAGTATACCCACGGCGCCGCGATACCAATAACCGGGTCCCCCTGTCAATCGAAGCACTGCAGAGTGGACTTCCAACTCCAAAGGGTCCCTTGTTTGCGTCGTTCTCCGCCCTCCTCATCACGCCCTATGTCGCAAGCAAGAATGCCAGGTGAATGCGCCGTTCTGCTAAAGATTAAAAAATCTAGCCCACCCACGGACTGACTCCCTTTCTTCCAGCTTGTTTTCTGGGTATTTGCAGCTGGGATTCTGTGCGTAGGGTTGCTTTCGAAGAAAACGCTCTCTCTTCCTCGACTAGGTGCCTGACTGCTCTCGCGTAACGGCGACGCTTCCTGGGAGATCAGAGTAACGCACCGCTTTCCAGTCCGATTCTCGGGCCTCCCCCCCACCACATTTGAACCACGACCGTGGTCTGCTGTTGTTGACGAGTCACGCTGTGCTCGCGCAAGAAAATGGCTTCCGCCCTACGAGCTTCGCGCGGCTTGCGCTCAATGGGCCGAGTCGCGGCTGGCCCTGCGAGGTGCTCGTTCAAGTACACGTCCGTCCGGGCGTTGGCGAATTCGTCGTCCGCCGAGGCGTCATTCCTCCCCGACGAGCCTGTTGGGCCGAAGGTGGTGACGCCGATTCCAGGCCCGAAGAGCCAGGAGCACATTGCGGAACTCAACAAGGTGTTTGACACCCGCAGTTTGAACATGTTGGCAAACTACCAGAAGAGCTATGGCAACTACATCTCCGATCCGGACGGCAACGTGCTGCTCGACGTGTACGCCCAGATCGCCTCCATCCCCGTCGGCTACAACAACCCGGCGCTTCTCGAGGCCGCCAAATCCGACCAGATGATTTCTTCCCTGATCAACCGACCGGCGTTGGGTAACTTCCCGTCGCACGACTGGGCGTCGATCCTCGAGACGGGCATTCTGCGCGTGGCACCCAAGGGCCTGAACCAGGTCTTCACTGCCATGGCCGGCTCCGACGCAAATGAGACTGCTTACAAGGCCGCTTTCATGTGGAAGAAACAGCAAGAGCGTGGTGGGCCCGATGTGGAATTCACAGAGCAAGAGATGACCAGCACCATGGTGAACCAGAAGCCAGGCTCGCCGGACATGTCGATCATGTCGTTCAAGACCGCCTTCCACGGCCGTCTGTTTGGCAGTCTGTCTACGACTCGCAGCAAGCCCATCCACAAGCTGGATATCCCGGCCTTTGACTGGCCCCAGTGTTCGTTCCCCAACCTCAAATACCCTCTCGAAGAGCATGTCGAGGAGAATGCGGCCGAGGAGAAGAGATGCCTGGAAGAAGCTGAGCACATTATCAAGAACTATCATAACCCCGTGGCAGCGGTCGTGGTCGAGCCTATCCAGTCTGAGGGCGGTGACAACCACGCGAGCCCAGCTTTCTTCCAAGGACTCCGAGAGATCACCCGCCGCAACAATGTCTTGTTGATTGTTGATGAGGTCCAGACCGGCGTTGGAGCCACCGGCAAATTCTGGGCACATGACCATTGGAACCTGCAAGATCCCCCCGATATCGTCACCTTCTCCAAGAAGGCACAGACGGCCGGTTACTACTTTGGCAACCCTGAGCTCCGTCCCAACAAGCCATACCGACAATTCAACACCTGGATGGGTGACCCAGCGCGCGCCATCCTCTTCCGGGCGATCATCGGCGAGATTGAACGACTGAACCTTGTCGAGCATACAGCCAATGTTGGTGACTATCTTTATGGAGAGATCGACAAACTGGCCAGGCAATACCCCGAGAAATTCCAAAACCTTCGAGGCAAAGGCCAAGGTACTTTCATTGCCTTTGACAACCCCAAGCGCGATGAGTTCCTGCTCAAGGCCAAGTCACTTGGAATCAACATTGGTGGCAGTGGTGCCTCTGCCGTCCGCCTTCGACCTATGCTGATCTTCCAGAAGCATCATGCCGATATTCTTCTGGACGGTTTCGAAAAGTTGGCCAAGTCTGTATAGGAGGGTTGGGTGCTTTCTTGTGAATACAAAATTTCCGGAGGCATTTTGTAGCTATTCCAGCAGTTGGCGTAGTCCTGGACCAAAATAATGCTGTCATGTCTGTTCCGAATGTTTTGGACATCCCGTAGATGTGAAAAGTTGAACGCGGAACACAGTCGTAGAGTAAAGTAGGTCCGTCCGTGCGGCGCTTGTATCAGCCTGCTTCGCTCAACGCTATAGCCTAAAAATTCATATCGCCGTAGTTCCGAATCGTTGATACCATCATGCCATCCAGTCACTATGCCGCAACATCGTCCTCGACCGAGGTACCGTCTCTGGGAATGTACTTCATGCCGTTGTCTTCCAAAGTGTCTATTATCTCCTGCGGTAATTGTCCAACGACCTTGACAGCGTAGATTCCAGGCACATAATTTGAGAGCCGCTGCCACTTAGCGACCCACGACGACTTTGGATCACCCATCATGATGAGCCCTTCGAAGACTTGGGAGGTGCATTCCTGAATGGCGTCTTGGGAGTTCCGTAGGCCTAGGATACTTTCGCAGTTGGGGCACCCATTCTTGTAGAATTCCTATCCCGTGTCAGCAGGGTCGATTCTCAGGGCGTGGATGTACTCACACTAGCATTCAAAACGATGGAACAGACCATGCAAGCGCGCTGACGAGTACCGCGGCCGGCCATGATGGCAATGGAGATGCAATAGGTGAGATGCGACGAGAGGTTGGAATCTAGAGGAGTGATGGCTCGAGAAATATCACCGGTAGGTAGTTGAAGCAGCGGAGGGCCAGTCGAGTCGCGTCGAACCAGTGACTCGCAAGAGCTGTAACGGGAAATACAGGCTCCCCGATCAGAGCGCGGATGGATCGATAGAGGACAAGGAACGGGCAGCACTGAAATGAGAAATGCGTGGGGAGGGAAGAGAGATGAGAAGCTCGGAAAATGCTGCTTGCAAACTGCGCGCCGCTTATCCTGCGGGAGATCGACGCCTAGCACAGATCTCCACTGCATCTCCAGGCCGAAAAGCGCAGGCAAAATCGCGAGGCAAATTCAGAGGCACCAGTTCCCGAGGAAAAGTGGCGCCGTGTAATCGAGAACTTTCGGCGGGCAAAAAGACCAGAGGCGTGGCATAGCTGCAGTGAACACACGACCACGCATCTCTCAATCATACTGCCCTTTCGATTCCGGAATGATACGATAACACTGTTGTTCTCATCAACCTAGACATTCTAGCTCCTCTCCAACTTACGGTCAGATCACCACAATTCAAGCTCTGACCATGGCCTCCGCCACCGACAAGGCCGAGGCGACCGCCCTCAAAGCCAAGGGCAACAAAGCCTTTCAAGAGCACGACTGGCCGACGGCCATTGACTATTACACAAAAGCGATAGACAAATACCCCTACGATCCATCCTTCTACTGTAATCGAGCTCAGGCGAACATCAAGCTCGAGGCCTACGGCTATGCTATTGCGGACGCCAGCAAGGCTATCGAACTGGACAAAGACTATATCAAGGTATGTTGACGTTGACGTTCCTTAGGCCGCGTGGTCGGAATTGATCTCTGACATATATGACTCTTCCAGGCATATTGGAGGCGAGCTGTGGCCAATACAGCCATCTTAAACTCGCAAGATGCCCTTCGAGATTTCAAGACGGTTGTCCGCAAAGAGCCGAACAACAGAGACGCGAAACTCAAACTGGCCGAATGCGAAAGACTGGTCAAGAAGATCAAATTCCTCAAGGCGATCGAGGTGGAAGATGCGCCTTCGGCATTCGAGAACCTGGACTTGGACTCGATAGAGGTGGACCAGTCATACGACGGCGTGCGGTTAAAAGACGAAATGACACAAGGGTTCATTGACGACATGATCGAAAGATTCAAGAATGGCAAGACAATCCACAAGAAATACGTGTTCCAGATCCTCAAGGCAGTTCGGGATATTGTCTACAATGAGCCCACCATGGTCGAAGTGGAAGTTGCTCCGGACACTCAGTTGACCGTCTGCGGAGACACGCACGGCCAGTTCTTCGACCTTCTCGAGATCTTCCGGCTCAACGGCTATCCATCAGACACGCACGGATATCTGTTCAACGGCGATTTCGTGGATCGAGGCTCTTGGTCGACTGAGATTGCCTTGTTGTTGTACGCCTACAAATGGTTGCGGCCGTCATTTTTCTTCCTGAACCGAGGAAATCACGAGACAGACGACATGAACCGAGTGTACGGGTTTGAGGGCGAATGCAAGGCCAAATACAACGAAAAGACGTTCAAGCTGTTCTCCGAGTCGTTTTCCGCCCTTCCGTTGGCGACGCTCATTGGCAAGAAATACCTGGTTCTCCACGGCGGCTTGTTCTCCGATGACAAATATACTCTGGACGACATTCGCAAACTTGATCGACATGCTCAGAGGCAGCCAGGTCAGGCCGGGTTGATGATGGAGATGTTGTGGACGGATCCTCAGCCTCAGCCTGGAAGAGGACCGAGCAAACGAGGTGTTGGCCTACAGTTTGGGCCGGATGTGACCAAGAGATTCTGTGAGAACAATGGCCTGGAAGCTGTCATCCGGAGTCACGAGGTGAGAATGGATGGGTATGAAGTCGAGCATGACGGTAGATGTATTACTGGTAAGTGGTCAAAGCAGCGATACCCTGGTATATTGGCCAATGCTGACACCCGTCTAGTCTTCTCGGCGCCCAAATACTGCGACACGACGGAGAACAAAGGAGCATATATCAACATCGGCCCTGACTTGAAACTCGAATACCACCAGTTTGACGCAGTCCCGCATCCCGATATCAAACCAATGGTGAGTACCATAACTTTTACCTCTCTGTGATATGAACGCGACACTGACAAACGATGCGCTTCAGGCGTATGCGCAAAACTCGTTAATGTCCATGATGTAGTGATAGCGTTTTGGTTGGGCGAGCAGGACTCGCTGCGGCGGTTGTCCATGTATTTGGCGATTCGATCAAGTCTACAGGATGGCATTCCTCGTGTATGCAAGGCTCGGATTTCCAGCGTGTCTGCATTGGAGGTAGGATTGTCTGGTTTGGAAAGCAGCAACTAGATGTGCGAACGAAAGGCGGGTGATGCTGTACTCTGCATTCATGTGCTGGTGAAGCGTTAAGCCTGCGTATACGATGTTGTCCAGATTCAGTGGCTACGGCCATGACAGTGGAAGTGTCGAGGCCCTTGACAATCTTCATACATGTCGATGGCCAGATGTTTTTCTGATTCCTCTCTTCTTTGCTGCAGCCAGAGGTTGTGAGTATTGTTGAGGTGTTCAAGTTGGGGTCAAGCCACCTTACAACATGAGTGGCACCGCATAAATGATATAGGTGCCTACCTGGTAGGTAAGCAGTCCGGAAGGTTGATACAATGAGCGTTCTCTCATAATAGATGTACCTACCGCCTCTTGAATGTATGAGGGGCACCCCTACCAAGATCTGGCAGTGCCATTTCTTTTGTAAGGTGGCTCGAGGTGTTAAGATGAGGTGTCGATACTACTAGTATGGTGCTATGAGGGTGATGGCTACTACTATGGACGGGAGTCGAAGCGCAGCCGAAGGGGCGCAGGCAGTTCGATCGCAGCCTCCACCGTGACCTCCACCACCACCACCACCACCGCCACTTCCTCATCCAGTTCTTCCACCCACCAAAGACCAAAGACTATTGTATTCGACTTATGTCATGTACCTTACTACTACTATATACAACTTGCATCACTGGTATCAAACACTCAAGACGTGGCATGTGAATCTTCGCTAGGGCTCTCTACGTGGCGCTGATGTGACACAGCACAGTGTCATGCCCCGGTCCCTTGTCTTTCATCCCACTCTCTCGCCTTGAACAACAGCCACCCACCCCTTTGACTTCATCCCAACTATCGCGCTTCACAGAAGTCATCAGATCTTCTATCGATTTGACCGGACCCGGGGCGAATCTAGACCTGTACAACGATTTCTCAGCCCCAGAAGTCTCGAGCGTACTTCTGGTGACGGCTCAGAAACATCCTACTGAACTAGCACTGCGGCTTGTTCCGGTTGACGCTCGGTCTCTACAGAGTACCAAAAACGCCTTGCAGCCTAACCAAGTGACCTCATCAACCAGCTCCGCCTTCTGCCTTCACCGGTCGGACATCACTCATCTCCGGAATGAGATAGTTGCTGAATGAATCTTTCAATGTGAAGAGCGATGCTTCCGCCAACTTTCCACACCGCCTGCCACTTCGATGTAGCACCTTCTGTACCGCGTCGTTGTGCCGCAGACCGAGGGCATAGAGGAGAAATCCAACACCAGCGAGGCTGGCTGTCAACCTATGTATCCTTCGTCGAAGTCTCTCTCTCACCTGTGCCTGGAAGGCCGATCCGCACACGATTGCTCGAATGAAGCCTCAACTAAACCAGCCCGGATAGATGTTGTCGAGCGACCAGAAAATGGCACTGTATCCTTGAAGCCACACCGACGCATGGCCCTAGGACCACACCACTTCCATGAAGCCGTTCCAACGTCTCCTACAATGACGAACCCCTACTTACCTCGAGAACCTCGGCATGATCCGGCTCCATTTCTCTCGATCTTGCCTTCAGACCTGCACTACATCCTTGGTACGTATTATCTGGACTTTGATACACTCCTTGCGCTGCGACAAACATGTCGATCAATGTACACGGTATTGACTCCGGACGTCGTCCGGCGCGTGCGGGCACGGCTCATCCAAAGATCGCTAGAAATGGAAAAGGAACAATTCCGCGCTTACAGAAGCATCTATCCTCGGCAGCGCCTCGGCCATATCTGGGATTTACTATATGCGGCATTCGACTTTCGTCTGGTCGAACGTCCTGTGAAGGAACTCACATGCTACGGATGCCTCGAGATCAAACCGTTGTGGTGTTTCGTGGAGAAGATGAGTAATCGCGGCACAGGCCTAGGCGCGAAATTCGCCCAGGACCGAATGTGCAAGGACTGCATGCGACAGTACCGAGATATTGAGGGCCGGTGGTACAAGGATAACTGGGTCAAGAAAAGCGACATGGTACGGAAGTTCAGTAGAGGCCGCCGAGTCCGGCAATGGATATTCGAAGGTCGGCCTCTGGTTAATCCGGACGAGGAGATTGGCGTCTGTGCCAACTGTGGCAGCGGATCCTTTGAGTTGTGGTGGGGATGTGTGTCATGTTTCGAGCTGGAGGAGAAACGCCGTCGAGACCTGGACCTTGGGGGGTTGACTCGGTTGCAGCGCAAGATCTTCGATGTCGTTGATTCGTGGCGGGTCCGTATCGAGATCAAAGAAAGACAACGCCACGCTGCTGGGTCGAGAAGAAGACGAAAGAGCCTCTCCGTCCCCAACGTTACGTGGACAGGAAGTTTTTCCGACCGCAAGGCTGCGTTGATCGAGTGGAAGGAGAGCAAGGGTAAGAGCAAAAGCGAGCCTCTCAGCCGCGGTGGCTATAGCCATGGATCTTCTGGATGCAACGGTTCAAGAACACCACAGCCTGACTTACCATGGCGAGCCATCAATCAGATTCCTCTGCCCAACAATCGACGCGAACTTAGGTGTTCATCGTGTTGGGTCCCCAATTGTCCGCGTCGGACATATATGCTCGGACTGGCTTATGAAGGTCCCCTCCCCATGGAACGATGGTGTGAGGGCTGTCAACGAGATTATGAGGAACGACATGCGAGGAAAGAAGAGCTTAAGATGCGGAAAGCCATGAGAAATGATGAGGCAAATGGTATCTCCGGCGACGGATGGCTCGATGGTCTTGAACTTGGAAGACTTTTTGATGATCAAGAGGGTCAAGGATGATCATTGACTTGATCCTAGTGATGGATCGTTTGGTCAGCCGGGGCAAGGTCAAGGCAAGGGCAGACGAATAAGAGATGAGCAACGTTGACCTCTATTTCCGAGATCTTGCAACAACAGTCCAGAATCAAAGTTCACGGGAACCATTCAGATATGAGGAGAGCCGCCAGCTGGCTGAGGAGTAGTAGCAACATACCTGGGGATCCTGCAAGGGAACATGACGCTATGATACAACAGACTCCTGTGTTTGACTCTATTCCTCGCTTCTTCACGTCCATATTGTAACATGCTATGTGCCTAGGTCCCCGATTTTCAGTCTCATCACCAGACTCTTTGCGTCAGGCATACTGGTGGCACCGTGGTAGTATCGTACGAAGCCATGAACTTCCTAGCCACGTATACAGCCATATATGCATCCAAATACATATTGGAGGTTACCTGAGTCGACTTATACTGTAGTATACCCACCAAGAACATCTACTCTATGTCTCGCTAAGTCTTGACCACACTAGCATGGATGGACCACATCTATCAAGGATACCCCGAGCCAAGTATTGCCTCTCCTCACAGCTGAGACCTGCTTCAGCCCTGCGAGGATCACATCACTCTTTCGAGGAATCGAAAGTCGTCGACGGTTCCATCAGCTTCGTCTTCCTCTTCGTCATCTTCTTTCTCGACTCTAGCTTTCCAAGGGCACTCGACATGCAGTTGTTGTGCGATTTGCTCGGTGAGTTGCACGGTAGCTCTGATTATGCGATTTGTAGCGCCTAGATTGATGGAGCCGAAGAAATGCCTGGTCAATGTGGCGCGAGGTTGCGCCACGAAGGGTTAGCTGGTTGTTTGTGTAGTCCAAGATTGAATCGTACTGCAGGGCTGGGAATAGGAAGATGAGAATAGTCATGGCTTCGAGGCTTCAATCGGTTCAAATCCAGAGGCATAGTGCAAAAGTGTAAGATGGCAAGAGTAGACCAGGTAAGAACTTCTTCCTCTTCTTCTGAGAAAGAACAAAGTCAAAACTCACCCCTTGGCCTGTGGTCCACACCCGTCCGCCAGGCAACACACAAACTCCAACAGCCCCGTCTCCAGGCCGTCGAGGAGACTGGTCTCGCTCAGCAGTTCGCCGTAGATGCAGTTGATGGCGAAATGGGTCAGATCGCCGCCCGAAGTGGCATCCATGGCGGCCAGCACACGCGCCGTGTGCTGTTTGTAGATCTGCGAGAAGAAGGACATGCCTCGAGTGTATTTCTCGCTGGGACCGACATGCGCGCGGAGAGACGTGTCGCTGGACAAGATGGCCGAGAGGGATGGGTGGGTGCGTTCGATGGCGGAGGTGAGGGAGAAGAGAGCGTTGATTGCCTTTCAAGAAAGAAGAAGAGGAAAGAGGAGTTAGTAAATGGTTTCTTTGCGGGAAGATATACATGGTTTTGGAGAGGACTGATGTTTGGGAAGTCAAGGACTGTGTCTGTATTGTCTTGCGTGTGAAAAAGGAGTGTCGGGCTTACTCGAGGAAATCCGACGAGCGTGCTGGCTTTGAGACAGGCTTCTCGGATTCGTCTTGCTGTGAGTAGTAGTAATCTCTTTTCTTCTTCCATAACGTCGTCGTCATTGGCTTCGTCGACTTTGGGAAGATGGCGGTTCTGATGAAGAGAGGTGGCCAGATATGTCCATAGCTCGCCGATGAGTTTCTCCTTGTGGAATGCTAGGAGGTTGGCCGTGGTCAGAATGTACCACGGCGAAGACGGCGGGGCGCTGGACGTATCGGTGGACGGTTTTGTCTGTTCTTGAGTGAAGAGAGCTTCTAAAGATCCATAGTCCAGGCCTTGGGTTCGTTTTCGTTGTTGCTGTCTGCTTTTCTGAGAGGGCTTTGATGGGGATACTGAGCTGGTAAATTGGCTCTCCGGTGGTGTGCTTGTGGCTGAAGACGGAGTCTCTGTGCCAATTCCAGTATTATTCGCTGATGGACTTTGAACAGCTGATTGAGGCATGGCGTGCTATCCGCTGGGGGATCTAGAAGTGGTCGGCCTGGGGATTGTTTCGTAGGAGCGGGACGACTTCAAGGGAGAAGATGGTGTCGTCTAGGTTCGTAGGCCACCGGCAAGGTCTTGTGTCATACGAGATATCAAGAGACCCTGGTGATCGATCCTGGACTAGACCCTTCACTTCACCATGTTTTGTGCCTAGAGACATTGAATAGACAAAATATCGGATATTGACCTGATATCAAGTAGTAATAAGACGGACATGTCTGCTCCGCTTAGCGATGCTGACAATGCTGTGGGGCTGGCGGAGCCTTACTCGACACTTCCAAGTTGGGCGCAGGCTGTCTCCAGAGATTAAGAGCAGGTGGCATCAAATCCAGCGCCCACATCAATATGAGGTACTGCAGGTACACCTGAGACTGTCGGGAGCGGACTTCAGGGCCCCCATGGAAACCTGGCGGGACGCAGGTCATATTGTGGGCGTCTACCAAAGGTCGATGAGGGCAGGTCCGGTCTAGCGGAGACTTCGCAACGATTCATGAATCCAGGACTTAAGGCTTGAGAAGTCGCATATAAGTACATGCAGAAAGAAGGCATCTGGAAGGAGGAAGTAGTTGTCTGATCGCATGGGCTTAGATGAACGGTGAATCCGCTTTGGTACACCCACGGAGACACGTTCATCTTCCCCAAGGAGTACGGCTTGAAGATCGGGAATATGGAGAGACGTCACGACGAGAATCCTTTCGTCGGATGAGAAGGACGTTATATAGGTTGCTGGGCGTAGCCGTCAGTGTTCTTTGAGAGGGTGGCCCCCTTTTCGGTTCAGCCTTGTGAGCTGCTCTGCCAGCTTCCGGAAATGAATAAAGCGTGAAGTCGGTAAAAGCGCCCGCACGGCTCTGAGCTTATCCGTTCTCTGTGAATACGGCCTTTCCTGTTCCGTTCATTCCTGAAAGCAACAGAGTCTGCTATGAGTCCCTGCTCAGTTCTACTGCCCAAGAGGATGCAGGGTAGGCATCAAGGACATCAACATCAACATCGACATCAACATCAACATCGACATCAACATCAACATCGACATCAACATCAACATCGACATCAACATCAACATCGACAT